ATCTTTTAAATTTTTTTTCCACCAGAACTTGTGCATATTCTCTTTTTTACAAATACTTGTGTATATATATATATATATATATATATATATGTTTGTGTGTGTGTGTATACATAACCAGCATTATATATATACATATATACACACGGTTGATTTGTCTGGTAAAAAATGATATAATTATTTTCAAAGAATGATGCAAGTATAGGTCTTGGGTCATCTCTACTGCTAGTCCTGTTCTACTACATCCACCTCCATGGACCCTTTTGTGTAATTTATTGCATTCACCAGCTCATCCTGCATTTTTTCTAATTCCCTAAAGATTCCTGAGTTGAAGTTCATACAAAAGGCAATATACAATTATTTGTGAATGCAGAAGATGAAGGATTGGGCAGCATTCCCAGGGGACATAAGTGGGTTTTTCTTTCCTTCATTTCCATCTTTGTAAAGTAGTATCCACTCTCCGCAGGATCATTGTGTCTCTCAGGCCAGCAGGCAGAGGATTTTTCTGGATAATCACAAATCACTGGAGAATGCATTCATGCATATCAAAGTCTGGTGAACTCTGAAAAAATAGCTTATATATGGCCAGTATTAAAATCAACCCTAACACAGCCCTGACCGCCTGTACACCTGACACACATGCTGCTGCTTTGAAAGGATTCATCTGAGGCATCTTTTAAATCTTCAAATTCTGTCCTGGATTTCTAGGCTAAGTCATTGCAAATTCTGTTGATTGGCATGAAGTACAGCTTCTATCCAGCAAGATGGGAGAAATAGCTTGCAATTCAAGGCAGTTTTATACAGCTCAGAAAGACTTTTCAATGGCTGCAATAAACGCTCTGAAAACAATGGCAAAACTACATTTAGAAAATTATGTCAAAGCTTCATTGTAATGGCCTGATCCAGGCTGAATTTTTAGTTTAAATAACAAGCTAAAGCAATTTAGGAACTTTATGGGGAGTAAATGAAAAGATAAATGGCATTTCTTAAAGACAAGGAAGCAGCTGCTTATCAGAAAACACACAGGAAACACACTGAGCAACAAAACAAGCTTCCTATCCTATGCCATGATCATAAATAGAGAGGTCAGTAGAGGCAGAATCTATCTATGGAGCAGCAGCACCAGCTGACTGAATTTTGGCAAGCATCATTGCATAAAGCAGACCTTTGCTACATCCAATGTGTTGGTAATTTCCCAAATGGCACATATTCCTTGTTAAGGCTGCCTAATTTCAATGATTGGGTATCACACTAGGAAAAATTAGTATTTTTCTGTCAGTTATGGTTGTCCCTCATAGTCTACTATCCTTGGTACACAGTACATTATCCATTGTATCCTTCCACACCAGCATCTTTCTGAATGCTTGCTCATACTTTGGATAGACTTTGGGTTAGTGCCTGTATTTTCCCCACAGCTATTTTTGTCCTTGTTTTTATTGCTTTGTATGGAGAAGTTAGTACTATTTGAGCACTATTTACTGTGCATGACATTTTATCTCTTTGCTGCATCGCTCACAGTGCAGCTGACAGAATAGCAACTCCAGTATAAAGGGGCATTTGGGCATTCACAGGTATCTCCACAAACACCCTCATGGTGGCCTCTTTAGGTGCTTGAGCCAATAAACCAAATTTCTTTTTGCTTTCCCTTTCTTTGTTCTTGCTTAGACTGTGCAGAAGAATGCAAAAACTTCGCTTATGTTTTCTCACCGTAGCAGCTGGCTGGAGGCATGAACGTGATATCACAATGAGGACAAGTTGTGATTTCAGCTTTCCAACAAGCAGGAATAAATGAACTTTTAACCTCCCCCAAAGATCCTGGTCCTAGACAAACACCCTTAACAATATATAGCAGTAAAGAGAACAACAGGTTATGTGATATAGGCAGCTCACGTAGTTTTTAAACAGGAAGCTTAATTTTGATCTCAGAGATACATTTATTGCACACTGAGGACAGAAAGGCATGTAAAATTCCTGATTTTCCAGGTGTTTTTACACAAGTGTATGCACAGATGTGTATCATATTCAGAATGATTATTCCATCCAAAATAAGTTCAATTGACTCTTATGAAAGAACAGGTGTAGTTTAATTGCAAATAGCAAGCATAAAGAATAAATTTATTCTTTGTGAATAAAGAGAATATAAGAATTCATATATTCTTTATGAATAAAGAGAAAATAGCAGCATGCTCTTAGGTACAGGTGGGTTTCAGTAGTCTCATGAATGTGTAGTATGGTAGTTGGGCTGCTTAAATAAGAATGAATTAGAACACCTTAGTCCTAAAAAATAAATTGGAATATAGTTGAGTGTGTCAATGTTATGAAATCTGACAGGAGTTGTAGTGCTGAAGGCAGCATGGCAAGAAACCAGTGAAGAGGTGTTTTTTTCTTTATAGTCTGGTGATGACTGAAATCAATCACTGGACTCACATGGAGTGAATAGATTTGAAAAGTATAAAGATCTTTCTCACAATTTTCTTTGTTTCTTGGTTGGTAGTAGAGTAAGTTTGTCAGAGTATGCCTTTGGAAAGTCCAAGTGCATTGTTCACATTTTGTTCTCCAGAGAATCATAAAATACATGGGACAGAGTGTGAGATTAGAATGCCCAAAACTATTGTCCAAAACACTAGCAAAGGTAGTACAAAATAAGCCATGGCACTCTTCAAGTAGGACTGTTGGTAAATGCACAATAAATTCTGTATTTATGCTAATAATCAAGAAGGTGGAAGAAAGTTTCAAATCACATCATACAATAATCCATGTGATTTCCACTATGAGATGATGCTCCAAACAATAAGCAGAAGGATTTCTGGAATATATGACAGATGGCTGTCCAGTTGAATTTTAGGATGCTTTGGTGAAACTCTATTAACTAGAACAATTTATGGGGTGGGTGGGTGGCTGTGATTTGCTTGGGTTTTTCTTTCTTTTGTTTTAACAGGGAAAAGAATGAAAATTAATTACATTTAAATATGCACCCAAAAAGTAAAATTTGCAAAGCTTTAATTATCCTAAGCATGATGTCTTTGAGAAGAGACACCTGTGTGAGTTAGAGAGGAAAAGATTTAAAATGTTATGAAATTCTCTAATCATCTTTATCAGTTACCTGTCTCTGAGATCTTCAGAAGCCCAGTGGCTCCTCCTAATTTTAAGAGCCATGCTCCTTAAGTCATGTAATGGAAAACATATTGTGTTTAGTATGTGACTCAGCTAAGATTTCAAGTTCTGAATATTAGAGAAAACTATTCAGAAGAAATAAATGTGAAAAAAATAATTAGGAAATTGTAATAATGGATGAGGTAAAGTACCCTCTTGCAAATATTCAACCAAATTCAAAACCAGGATATTCACTGGATATATACTTTGTGATGGATTATATGTCTGTATCTGCTTCAAAGTTCATGTTGCATCAATAGACTTTGGTGGAGGGAACAGACAATTTTGGGATCAAAGATAGAATATCATATTCCTAAAGAAAACTGCTTGTACTAAACTGGTCAGGAAAGGATTACAAGAATGTTGTAATGGCAGTGCTGGGTACAATGATGGATCTGAACAAAAATGCTAATACTGGACACAAGTGTAAGTGAAAAAACAAATCCATGAAAAAAGGGGAACTATTTAATACACTCAATTGAAAATAGCTGGTGTTTAATTCCACGGATCATAAACAGTATGATTATTAGTACTTGCTGGTTCAAAGGCAGTCAGGGAATTAATTGAAATTGTGAATCTAGAAACAAAACAGACAATTGTGGCTTCTAAATAGTCTGTCCTGTATTCTGGAATTTTTTTCCTATAAATCCCCTCTCTGCATTTCCTACAAGGATGATAGCACATGTATTTATGCCAGCTTAGAATCTTAGTGAATTGCAAATTCGGGTAGCAGAAGACAAAGTAAAATGTGAATTACAGCTTGCCCTGTCACATAAAAATAACCAAGTTCTGTACTTTTTGCAAGTCCCAGACAGAGAGCTTTATGGAATAAATTATTCACAGCATTTAGAGAAACTGTGTGATACAGTCATGGGGTCCATGCATGAGGAAAAATATCTGCAGGCAATAATTTAAAAAGTCAGTAGTCTGGTTCTGAAAGAGAAGAAGTAATGACTTTGTTGCCTGTGAAAGAACTGTAGTTTAGATGGGTGAAGAACCTGTGCACTCTCCTCTCAATGAACCCAAATAATTCCTGTTAAGTTTAATCAGGTGGAATGCATATTTTGCGAGGAATTAATCCACTTAGTCCACCACAGCTAATGATACATTGCTAATGATATCCTTTGCAACATACACAGCATGAATGAAAAACCTTGATGTGAAATTCTGCCCACAAATTTCCCTTTTCACAGTGCAGGATTGGAGACCAAGGCAGGGACAGCTTTGGTCTCTGTAAGCACGATGGCACAAAGACAGGCAGGGCAGGCTAGGCTTAGAGAGAGGATGACTCTGGTGCCCTCCTCTTTGGTGTAGAACTTCTGCTGTGTGGCCTTTATGAGTACTGTGGAGTTACAGCTCTGGAGCTGAGAGGTTCCAAGCAGCCCAGGGTTTTTATATAAGCAATGGAAAGGAGCTCTTCCCTGCTCCTTAAACAATGCCCTGAGTCATGAAATTGTGTAGGAGTGACATGGCAACCACTTACGATACTTACCTCAAGAAATTCAGACTGGAAAAGACCTTTTTATCCATCAAGTGCAATTCCTTCTTTCCAAAGGGCTCTTTTAGTAAGTTCTGCATCATAAACCATTCATAAAATTCCTGTAAAACAGTTTGGGCAGATAGATTTATTTTCAATTAATTATTCCCCTTCATACTCTGATATTTTACTATTTCTTATGTGCATAACAGTTATTAAAAATGGTGTATAACTCTCCCAAAATGACAAAAGCACATCTTTTTTAGTACCTCTCTAATTAGAATAAGGTAGCTGATACATCCCTGCATGCATGTGTTCACTGTGCAAATGCACATGAACTAGCTTTAAGCAAGTGAAGTCAGCAGTGAAGGGCTGTCACCTTCAGAGCATTGCTGAGAAGCAGAATAAAGTTATCTATTATGAGGTCTGTGCTCTGTTTTAGGAGCCAAGCTCCTGCTGGTTCTGCCAGAGCCAGGGCATGACTGTGTAAGGCTAATTTCAGTTTCTTATTGTGATGCTATAGGGTGCACAAAGGATTTATTCCCTGGAAAGTCATCAAATCTTATGTTGTGACTGGTGTGGGGGAAATAAAAAGCAGCAATATGGGAGAGAAACAAAGCCACTGGCAACAGTTTTTTGTATTAAGTATTTTTGATACTTAATAAAAAGAATTGTTGCCTTTAAAAATTACTAGTTCTTAGTTGTTTCACTCAAAAATCACTTCCCATACTGTCTTTCTCGTAGTTGCCCAGTGAATGGCTGCCACATTATTTCCTGCTGATCAGAAAACTTGTCAGTGGTTAATGCCATGAGATCATTATCTACAAACAGCAACCGGTTATTGAATCTCCACATGTAGTATGGGAACAGGGCTGTGTTGTCCTACAGAGTTATTTCTGTAACATGAATGATTTATTTTTATTCAGAAATATCCCTTCCCTTTAATGAAGAATTGGTTATAAAGTAGCTTTATGTTCTAGACAAAATCATTTAGCAAATGAAGTTTCAGTGAAACTTCTTCACCAGTAGGGCTGTAAAGCACTGGGACAGGCTGGCCAGGGCAGTGCTTGAGTAACCATCCTGGAGGGATTTACAAACATGTTGGTGTGGACATGGTTTACTGGTGGACTTGGCAGTGCTGTGCTAATGGTTGGACTTGATGATCTTAAAGGTCTTTGCCAACCTCAACAATTCTGCAATTCCAGGCTCATAATAGTAATCTTAAAATTAATGCCTCACTTGGCTGCTGATATTAGAATCTTTAATTGTAAGTTAATGTTCTATTTATCCAGTAGGGTCAAAACTTTCTGTGTTACCTTTTGTCTAGAGAGCCTAATTGCACAGATCTTACTAATTTTAACTGTGACTCACTCTAAAGTTACCATGCTTACAGTATTTATGCTTACAGAGTATCATGCTTACAATACTGATAAAGGAGATAATGTCACCAATGATTATACCATGAAACAAAAAGGATTGATTCTATAATCACATTTATCCCAGCCTCAAACTCAACTTTTCCATAATTTACTGTTAAATTTGGAAATTCTACTCTAGGATTGGGAAAAATCCCTCTAAGTAAACCAGCCTTGACAGTATCTTCTTCCTCTTGGTATTTGGTGCAGGTTGAGACAGGAGATCTGGGAGATGTGTACAAGATTCAAGTCAGCTGTGATGATGTGCCAGGCTTTAAGGGCTGGCATGTGAAGTCTTTTCACTTACAAGAGTGGAATACAAAACAAGAACTGAACTTCGAGTGTAACTGCTGGCTCGCTCTTAACAGAGGGGATAGGGAGCTGGTAAAGGAGTTCCCTGCAGTCACTGAGGACCAGAAAACTTTACCAGGTAACAGTACCAAGAAGACATAAACACTGTAAATTAACAGCTTGAAAATAAATCAGTGTCACAGATATAATATAGTGCTTTGTCTGGATTTGATACCTTCAGTTGCTCTGTTGCACCTGTCTTCAAACATGCACGCAAAGAATAAGTATACTTCATATATGGTCAGCAAGAATGCTGACCACTGAAATTTTCATTTTCCAGTTAAGTTGCACATTGGATTTTACAGTTGCTAAATCTTCTGCATGATTTTAAATGAGAAAAACTGAACAATATGAATGGACTTTTTAGGGAAACAAACACGTTCAAAGCCATGGAAATGATTTGTTCTAGAGTTACTATTGAATTACTTAGCTTGCAGTAACTTTACTTGCTAATGTTAGTACCAAAAGTAAGCCTTATTGCACAGAAATGTTGGGGTTTTTTTTCCTAAAGACTATTTATTTTTGCTATGCTGAGAGTTCTCAGAGATACCCTTGGAATGTGAAGACTTACAGAAGTCTTCCATTTGTTCAGAAAAATTAGCAGTTACACTGAGATATAAGTAATTAGAGACATGACTGATTTGCTAAACTAAAGTTCCAGAAGTTCTGATCCCTGAATACTCAAACCTATTCATGACTTTGAAAGAAAGCATAGTGTTACATTAGTTAAATATTAACTCTGCAGGACTATACATTAAAAATGACATTTGAAAAATTTTGGTTATTCTTCTTGTATGAGCCTGAATATATATGCAATTAAATGATCTTCCTCAGAAGAAAATCTAATCTGACTGTAGAAATTCATTCATACAGGATCAATATAAAGGCAAAGAATTTATAGTTTCCTTACTGAAGTTAATAAGTGCATTTTATAAATTTTTATACTTATATGTCATGTCATGCATCCAGATGCTATGTTGCATCTGTTTCTTATTTAAATTTACATAACATTATTCTTCTTTGATCTGTGTTAATTATTATTTATTTCAAAGATAATTCAGTTCTTAATTAGCTTTTAGTTTAGTTCCTGAACTAACTCAAATGAGTTCTTACTTTTTAGATCTCGTACAATAAAACAGAATCAGACAGAATTTGCCTAGATTCATATCCAAATTGTCCAAGACTAATTGCCTTCAAATTTCTAAGAAAGCGAATGGAAAGTTTACATTATGCTTAGTATGAAGGGATGAGATTCATAAAGAGTAACCTGATTATTTCATTCACTGTATAGCAGATTTTTTGTAGCTGCAGAAATAAAAAAAAAAAATAATCTTACTAAATTAAATAAAGAAAAGTCTTTTTACTAAATAAAAAAAAAGTCTTACTAAACATTCTTTGTTGCTGTTTTATTTTAAATGCACCTTGTACTTAATCAGCTTTAATTAAATTTTTTCTTTTCTTTTCTTTTTGTAGTCTATAAGTACGTTGTTTCTGTACATATCGGCGACCGCTGGGGAGCAGAGACTTTTGCTAATGTTTATATCACCCTCTATGGCAAAAGAGGGGACACAGGTGTGAGGAAACTTCATACATCTTTAATGAAAGGAAGAAAATTTCAAAGGAATAAGGTAATGGCACCATAATGCAGTCTTACAAGTGCAGAGGTTAGCACTGCAGTAAGAGTCGCTTAATGCCTGCTCAGAACACCTCTGGCTCGATGGGCAAGAATTTGGAAACATTCACAGAATTTATCTCCCAGATATTCACAGTAGGCCAGTGTCAGTGTTATTTATTTCCTGTGCAAGAACATACCCACATGGCAATTAAAGCTCCACATGAGCAATATAAAGCAGATTAGTGGTGAGAACCTCAGTGATCATGCTTCTGACTTCTTCTGTTCCAAATTTAGAACAGAACAGGTAGTAAAAATATTGAAAAACCGGGGAAAAATAAGTTACAGAAATTTCCATGAGACTTTTGCAGTCTATTATGTTTCTGAAACCACAATCTCACTTTGAAACATCAAATCAATATCAGTAAGTTTAGACAAGAAACAAAAATTCCACTTAGAAAAAGAATGCAAATAAACCCAGTATTTCTAGATGACCGCTATAAATAAAATTCTTGTCCTGTGAACTAGACTTTCACTCACTGAACAAGGAAGATTGAAAAAGCTCACTGCCAAAGTGTCCATTTTCAAGGAGAGACTTAGATTTCTGTGAAATAATTTTACTAGATAATTACCACAGCACTTGTTAGAGTAAATGTGGAATCTGTAATGAACTGAGAGAATTTCTAAATTTCATTTCTGTGTATTTCTCAGAACTATGCCTGTACACAAAAGACACCATATATTGTAATTATTTTAATTTGTTTTCATACATGGATTTATTTCCTAAGATATCTTAATTAACAAAGTTAATGATTTCTGCTCACAATCTGCTGTTGGGTACTGACTATTATTAGAAAAAAAAAGATTTTTTTGGTCATATGAATGTATTTTCAATATTAGTAACAGAACATCTGCTTCTCCAATATTTTATTTAAAAAGAAATAGGGACAACACATAGGACTTTGGCAACTATTGTATTCTTTTAGAGATCAGTTTGCTAATATCTTGGGCTTTTAATTGTTTTGACATCCAATTTAGTAAGTTCCTACTACTGAACTGTTTTATTTGAATTCTGGTGTTAATTACATTCTTACACATTGCTCTTCAAACTCCAGTTGTTAATAACTTTCTAATCTTTACCAGTTACCTTGAGGTCCATCTGGTCCCTGCCTGGGCCTTTTAAATAACAAGCAAAAATTTTGTGGGGCATATAATTCCTTTCTTTGCATTTCACATTTTTCCATATCTTGTTTATCTGGTCCCTATTCTCATCTACTGCTGCTTGTGTTTATTTCTCTCATGTCTTTCTCTGCCTCCTCCATTCTGATTCCCTCCCCACCTCTCATCTTTTACTCTTCACTTTCATTTTAACTTCCTCCTTTACTCAGCTTCCTGTTTCCACAATTATTTTCATTCTGTAAGGAAAGCGAAAAGTCAGATTTTCTGACTACTGGAGAAGAATTTAGAAACTATATTGGAGTGAACACACTCCTTGGATTGCTAACTTTAAAACTACTAATATATATCTAGACTTGTTTGATGACCTTTAGAAACTAGATAGCTGAAAGATAAAAATATGATTAAAACCAAAATCTTGTCATAACTGACTGTCAGAAAGTTGAGGTATATAGATTTTAATGTATTATTAAATAATTGATGAAGTGATCCATATTGACCAAAGATCAAATGAAATTACAAAGCATCATTAATGATGAATATAGGATTAAATGTTAGTTCTAATCAGTGTGTGCTTTCTTAAATTCATCAGGGAGATGCCATGCTAAATTTTATGAAGAAACAGACTAAAAATTTTAAATTCTCAGATGAATGCAGGCCTATATATTCCCTGAAGTTCAAGTCAAAACTCTGTTTTATTGAGTATTTCCCTGTTTTGCAGGTGGATTCATTTTTAGTGGAAGCTGTTTCTCTGAGTCATTTGCAAAAAGTGGTCATAGGACATGATGGAGAAGGCTATGGGGCAGGAATGTATCTCAAGATGGTAACAGTCAAGGAATCACAAGATTCAGACAAAGAATGGGTCTTTCCACTGTGGAACTGGCTTGACACTCATCTGGGCTTATGTGAGACTGTTTGTGAGATTGTAACTGTTGGTAAGTTCTGCAAAACTCAGGTGCCCATTTTTATATACATATATTTGACTACAGCTCTTTCAGATCTCTGTAGTATCTTCCTTTTATTGAAAATGAGGATTTTCAGTTTGATCTTAGTGTTATCACGGAGCCACATCTGGTAAGGTCAAAGTTAATGTAATTCTGTCTTGTCGATGTGTTGTGTACGGAACACCTGCCTTCCAAATTGAACACAGCATATTTCAATGAGAGATAAATAGCTGAGCTTAGGATTTGCACCTCATGGGGATAAATAGCTTAAATTTTATGCACTATTTTTCAGCCTAGAATCTCATTTGAAATCTAAAGAAAAATTACTTCAATGAAATGAGCCTAGTCTTTACCTGTGAGAGTATTCCACAGCACAAAGCAGCGGTTCTGGTATGCTCATTTCTGCTCATTTCACACCTACTATTAAGCCATGATTTGTGCAAATCCAAACCTGGATGTCCTTGGCAAAAGAACACTTACAGAGGGACCTTTAGTCATTTAGAAGCACTAAAAGATTTCTTCCTTCAGTCCTGTGAAAACCACTCAATGCAAAGGAAATGAACTACATAACTTTGTCCAGAGGGAATAAGATATAAAGTGTCCTTGATTCAGTTGTGTGGTTTTTCTGAGTTGTAAAAAGTACATTTTTCTGAGCTGTTCCTCTTCATGAAATCATTTTCACTTTTCCCAGAATTGTTAAAACAGAATTAAAATGAAAAATAACAGCAATTAATGAAGAAAAAGAGAGGAAGATAATAATATTGATCTTCTGAGGATCTGGCAAATAATTTTGTGTGTTTATTATAGGTTACCTGTCAGTCTCATACTATTACAGCTCCTTATTATTAAGTCTAGTCTGCTAGGCTAGGTAACATCTAGTGACAAGCAAAGTTCTTTAGAATTGTTCTTTTTACATTAGGTGCCTAGACACTACATATGGCTACATGCTCTTAAATGATAAATTTGCCTTAGTAACACTGATTGCTTCTTAAAGAACAATTACTTAGACCTCTGAAAGGTGACTGAATATTCTCCTAGCAATTACTTCCAAACATGACAAGGAAAATACATTGTCATCAAAAAATGCCATTGAAACTAAATTTTAAACACAGAAAGAACATTAAGCTGTTAAATTCTTCACAAAAAATACAATAAAGATATTGATGTGTTATTCTTAGTGAGCAGTTGCTATAGATACAACATAACCTGCAAAAAGAGCTTTGTTTGTGTACTGTAAAGGCTATGGACCTGCTAGATTATGCCATTCTCTCATGCTGTCATCTTTCCCTTCTCTTTGCTAATTTTTAAAGGTAGAAGGTCGGCTCTTAGTCCTAAACTGCCTGAAATCAACATGAAGCCATCAGGTCTCTGGATAATGGAAATCACTGGATCTGACTTGAGTGGTGAAGAGGATCCAATACACCTTTCTTTTATCTTCTATGGCAACCTGAGTCACAAAAAGTTGCCACTTCAAGTCACAGGAAAAGCAATTCAGATCAAAGTACTTCAACCTTTCTCTGTTGCGAGAAAATCCTACGAGTCATGTAGCCAATAATCCACTTAATTCTGAGATAAATTGTTTCTTTAAACTAAACTACCAAATTGATTTTTAAGTCCTCTGTGTAGTTTGGCACAGATCATCATTTTTGTTTGTAGGTAGCAACACATGAACAATGGTTTTTGAATGAGCAAATTCTCCCAGTGTCTCATACTGAGAATGTTTAAGTGAGTGAATTGGTCCCTTGGTGCATATCACAGTGTATACCACGCAGCAGGTACTGATTTACAGGCTTTGTTGTTCTCACAAAAATCAGCAATTTGTAAGCATACAATATGCCATGGGATACTGTAGAGCTTTTGGGGCTGATGATAGAGAAGGAAGAATCATAAATGAGATTAAATGTACAGAAGTTTAATTTTTCTCTTTTCTGTCTCATGTAATTTATTCATCCCTGCTGTCGGTTTCTCTGAACTGTTCTTTTCTCCCCCCGCCCCCCACCTTTTTCCTCTTAAAAAATTGAATTTTATGATTGAGCTAAAGAAATCATTTATTGTATTTTGATGCTCCTCTTTATTGAAAGGGGAGCTAAGCAGACTAAACTAGACTACACTAACCACAAACATGATCCAAAATCAGGAATACTCAGAGGGTTTTTCTGAGTTATTTCCAAGAACCTCTGATAAATACAAAAAAATAGTATAAAACTGGAAATTTCCTGTCAGAGGAAAGGCCTGTGACCTGTCAGGTCACATGGACTTCTACTATCTAAGCATGTCTAAAATGAAAGAGCAGGGGAAAGAATCATAGAAGTATCAAATAGGAAAAGACAACTTCTGTTTTTTCCCTTTTTTTTCCGTACAGTGAAAAAAAAAAATTGATTTTAAACTACTAATTATAATATCTAAGACCTCCTCTCACTCTCACTAACTCAAGCAATGGTATGTCCTTGAGATGGTGTGTTATCTCTAGTAGAACTAGATTTTTTTTTTTTCCTCAAGTATGACTGCAAGATTTTAATATACAACTTCTACGATCTAGAGTGAGGATGAGGGATCTCCTGGATGTTTCCTCAAAACTGGGTTAGCTTTCTTTCAAATTTATACTTAATTGCATCATTTTTATTGTTGTAAGAAATATTTTCAATAGTGCCCAAAGTTTTAAAAATTGACTAAATCTTCTGTGGCTGAAAATAATCTAATAGAATCTGTGTAATATATATGAACATTGTGCCTTGTTCTGCGTACAAATCGCAGCAGTGACTGCCATTGCTTTTTCCTTAATATCAAACCTCAAGCATTCCATCTCATGCATGTTTTTAAATCAATTTTGTCCTGATTAAAAACGGGAAAAATAGTACTAGTTATAAATCTGCCCCAATTTTTTAACTACTGAAGTTTGTTCAACTGTTGCATGCACCTGCCAACTACTTTTGTTCTGGTACCACTGAAATGAGATCCATTCATCTTCTCTTTCTCCTCACACAGGATGAACTGGCAGATATTGGCTCAATATACAAAGTTCAGGTAACTGGCCCACACAGTGAGCTAAAACAGCCATGGCATTTAGATTTACTGCATATGAAGCACACAGGCACAAAGGAAGAGATGTATTTAGCTTTTGACTGCTGGTTCAACCCTAAGGAAGACAAATGTGTGGAGCTGCCAGCTCTCTATGCAGATCAGGAGCCTTTGCCTGGTAAGCTACGTCCTTTTCTGTTCCTGGGGTCAGGATCTAGCTCTGGAATACCAGTATATCTCTTTTGGGCTGAAAATACTGTGTGAAGATTTCCATAAGAATTTGATAGTAAGGAATGTGATGGTTTTGCACATAAATTTACCACAAAAGAGAAATCATTGGTATGAGGATTAGGAGAGATGCTCTAGCTGCTGATGCCAAACATAGTATTTGGCTTCTCTCATGTTTGATAAAGTTCCAGTTTTAGCTGTTGATTATTTATTATCTCTTCAAATTAATGCTATGTAAGCAGAAGATGAGTTCAAAATATCATCTACTTTGTGATGTTGTCTCCATATTCACAAAGAAAAAATATGGTCTAGAAACATAGTAAAGAAGAGAAGAATTGCAGACCCCCTAACAACAAAGGTAGAATTTTTAAAATGCCACACAGCCAGCAAAGAGATATATCCAGGAATTTCAATTACACTATTGTTTTATTGATGTCAATGAGAAATTTATAGTGCAGCAAATGATATTCTATGAAAATATACATTTAGTTGCATATTTCTCTGCTGCTGTTCACATACCAAGTGAATGGTATGATGCCAGAGGGATAATTAAGTGATTTCTGCCAACCACCCCCCCACCACTCCCCCTGGACCAACCAATTGTACACTGATAACTTGATCACTAGTACTTAAGGACAAGCTTCCCATTTATTCAGCTCATTAGAAAAAAAGAGGATTGATGGAGAGAGTAAAGATCATATATTGAAGCTTTTAGTGCCAGTTAAGAGGTTTATTCCTAGAGGCTATAGTACAAAGAATGTTCTGCTTAAATGGAAACTAATAGAAAAAGACGGAAGCAGCCCAGAAAAAGAAATAAAATAGACCACATGGACTTTTGCAGATCATACTCTAAGGAGAGTTTCCTAAATATTTCATCCAGCTTAAAGCTGAAACTTGAAAAAAAACCAGTGAAGACCTTTTAAATTTCTGGCTTTCTGTGGGTTTGCATAATTAAAAGAATTTGTCACTTTGTATTCATGTACTGAAAAATCTTACCGTTTTAGACTTTTGATCCAAAAAGCCATTTTTTGATTCAAAAAAACACTGGATGTTGGACATAATATATGCTGGATATACAATCATGAATATAGTAATTCTAGATCTTATTAAAAGACCCTATTCACTGATTTATTTAAGAAAAACTGAGAATAACTGTAAATATGAACAACTATTTTCTGCATTCAAGCTTGTTAAATTTTTTACTGCATATAAAAAGTAAAAAAAAAAATTAAAAAATTAAAAGTCTAAAATACACCTCTCAAAGCCTCTGTTATGCTAAGAGCCAAATGGAGATACAGTCTGAAAACATTATTCTGAAGTAATTAATTATTGAGGTATATTAGAAATTTAAGGTGTTTTTCTTGGAAAATTTCTGGGAAAAGATGTGTATATGCTGTCCAGCAAAAATGAATCCATAGATGGGAGTATCTAATAGCCTAGAAAGCTTCTCACAAACCATTTTGTGGAGTCCAGTGATTTATAACTGGAAGTGTTTATATCACTTTTATTCTTTGTCGTCCTGATACTTCTACAGTCTAAAATTTCTTCTTTGTTATATTCTGCTTTTATTAATAGACACACACACAAGAAAATTAATTCAAAATAATGATAATAATAAATGATATGCATTTACTATCTTCATTTTTTTTTTCTTTTTAAATGAGCATTAGGTGATTGTTTTTGGTTTTGAAATATGTTGGCTTACATCTGAAAAATAATTTTTTAAATAGAATTTGGAAGAGACAAAGAATACTTTGTTTTAGTAGATTTTTGTTGTTGGGATATGCTGCTCAGACAGAACACAATCAGAATGGTCCCAAACTCAGCCAAAAAACTTCTACCCCATTTCCCAGCACTCCTTTCTTTAATGACTCCTTTCATAAAGGCTACTTTGTATACTTTTATTTCACTTAAACAAAAAGTATACTTGCTATGACTACATTAAGCTTTAAATTATACATCAATATATTCAACAGATTCAGCTGAAAATACAGACTCAGCAGAAACACTATGTACATTTCTAAGCTAAGCTCATGATAATGCATATTAATGATTCAAACATTAATGGCCAAAGCAGTAACAATGTAAGCACTGTGATTTCTAACTTACCCTCACAGGAGTGGTCAGACACATGGACCAAAATATTTTGATCTTATTCATATAAGAAGCCTTTTGACTTGAACAAGTCTGCTCGCATGACCCAGTTACACAGACGAGACAAAACTCTGAATGAACACAGAAATTTTATATCCTAAGTCCCCTGAAAGAAAAATACCATTGGCTAAGTGCTAAGTAAAGTGTCACCTGGACATCTCATGTATTTTCAAGAATCTGGAACTCCAGAAAGATTAAGTCTGTGTAACTGTGCTGACTTTAGTGCAGATATGTTGTCTTTTACCTGGCAGTGCATATTTAACACCCTTGAAGAAAGGAATGAGATATGTTAGGGCCCCAGGCTGGGAAAACTCTTGGTCTACTTCTTATCATCAAACGTGAGTGATACCATCAATTATAAGAACTTCCCCAGCCCCTAGTTTAAAGTATTAAAAAAAAAAATTAGTCCCAAGGGGAGTCCCTGAAGCAAATAGTGCTGCAGTGAAATAAAGCTACTTTTAAGCAAACAGATTTTCTCAGACATCATCCTCATGGGGCAAAAGGTAAAGAGAAATAAATAATTTCAGAAGTTTATTGAAATTATTATTATTACTTATACAGTCCTTATTGTTTAATGAATCCTTTTAAATATTAATTTTTCAGTCTATACAGACCCACTCTTTAAAACCATTAATCCTGTTATGGGACCTTTACATTTTAGAAATAGAAAGAAATAGCTATAAGATGTCACAATATTTGAATTCAGACCTTTTGATTATAACACTGAACATGAATAGCACCAACTTGTGAAAAGAGCTGTAAGAAAAGCTTAAAATAAATATTCTCAGAACACGTTTCTTTCCCTCCCTGTTTTCCTATCACCAACGCATGAAACTAAACGACAGCTTTAGCTTCTGGGTTCATTGAATCATTCTTAAACCTACTAGAATTTTCTCATCATCTTTTTAAAGAATGTACAATTTGCTTAAATAGACTGTTTCTATCTTGTAAAAAAAATGGATTGAAGAAGAAAAGTACACTGAAAATATCAGATGTTTCCAGAATGTATACTTAGATATTCATGCATCCTATGATGTACATTAGACTTAAATATACATTTCAGACTTGAAAAATGTCTGAAAGAGAGTATTTCCATGCTCTCCAGCTTGTACTGTCAGCTGTAAAACTGAAAGTGCTTCATTTCTCCTTGCTTTCATGTCTGTCTAAAGCAGCACCCCCCTCCTCTGCACACATGAGTAGCCTGGGAAAGCAGGTGTTGTGGAGCCAGCCAAGTTCCAGGGAGGGACGAGAGGCAGAGTGAGGCTGGAAGACTTTCTCCAGCACGTAAATGTCACATAGTCTAGATGTTGTCTGTGTTTTCCTGCTACAGTGATGAAGGATGTGGGAGTCAGGGCTGATAATATTGATGGTCAAAGTTAGCTCAGTACTTGGAAAACGCTAAATTTTAAGGTTTCTCACTTAGGAAAAAAAAAAAGTCTTCATGTTTGTGATAAAAATGTTCAAGAGATAATACAAATGTTTTTGAATACATTTTTGGCACGTGTGTATTTCTCACTACCTGCATCCCAAATGTGACTTTGCATTTTACAGTGGAGAAAAATTATGTCCTTATTAAAAATATTAGACAGTTATTTTTTACAAACATGTGCGGCTACAAGAGAATACCTTTTATTCTTAGGCTTTTATTCTTAGGAAGAAATGATGCCTGTGGTTGGAAGCAGAGGAGCATTTAGACATTCTAAGTTTAGACTCCTGAGTTCTAGTGTTTATCTCTAGAATGTGTGGGAGCCCATCAGAGGTGTTTTCTATAGCACCTGCCTTCCCCTACTGACTACATAAGGATCTCAGTCCTAATATAGCCACCAAAATTAGATTCCTAAACTGACAGTACCAGGTCATTACACAAATGAGCCCAAATGAACACACTATACAAATTATACTTATTATAACACTCTGAATTAGAGCACACAACACCAGAAGGAAAATAAAATTCATCCCCCAAAAGCCCTCCTTATTTTTCATCCTAGGGTCCTTGTTGTTAAAATGATGCAAACAATGAATATTGAGATTGTGATCTGCTTCTGTTTAAGTGTTTCCTTGTTCCTTGTTTCCATGATAAACTCAGGGGCTGAAATAGGTCATTTACAAAGTGAACATAAGAGATTTCCATGAGATTTCTTTGGCATGAATATTAGTCTGGCCTCACTTCCCTATGTATTGTGACAAAAAGGGACAAGGAAGCAGAAACTTTGTATAGGGGGACATAGGTGTCTCTTCTAATCTCTGTACTATGACGACAGCTGGGAAACTCAGGATTGCTTTCCCTTAAACTCAAAATTCACTTATCTGACCAGGATTTGTGGCCTATTTTATTGTTAATGAAGGTTCTTTGGAGAATGATAAAAAATGTCAGGAGGCTTTTCTATTTATGTGTTAAAGCTGATGTTGAAAGAATTTTTCATTCATTACTTTTGTTTCATATTAACATATTTTAACTTAAGAACAATGTGATAGTATTATGGTCTAACTAGTGATAAACAAAAATAGAGGGAGGGAAAACCTAAGAAACATCAGTGAATAATCTTAGAAAGAAAAAATTAGTTTTTCTGAGGAGGATGCAAATATGTTCTTTTCTCAAAAAGGAATTTCCTACCTTATATGGAAGGGAACAGTACACAAGAGATCCTGTGCCCTGAACAGCAACCAGTAGTGCTTATTTTCTGGGAATGGTGTCAGAGCAGAACAAATCTATATTCTCTAGATTGCCATCCTGTTATGCAGCAGGAATGTGTTTCGGTTATGTATGTCACCAGGACTGAAGAGATCTTGTATGGTGATACAGCGTGGGATCAGGGTGAAATCTGAAATTGTTTCCACCAAGAATTGGTATATAATGTGGGTGTCAGGCAAGAGGATGAGTGTTTTCTCCTGCTGACTTTTTGGGGTTTTCTGTCCATTTTTTCTGAAGTTGTGGAATACGAAATCCATTTGCACACGGGAGACTTGAAGAAGGCAGATGCCACTGGAGAGGTTTATCTTCGTATACAAGGAGAAAAAAGTGACTCGGGGAAGCGATGGCTTAACTCAAAAAACAGCCTGATCACTTTTGCTAGAGGGCAGGTAAAATAATGAGGAAAAATGTAACTGAATCTGTGAGTGTCTTTTTGTTAGAACTTTTATTTTCAGAAAACCTTTCATGCATAAAGTATCAAAAACATTAAAGTTTTTTATTCCATATAGTGATTGTCTCCATAGGTAACACATTGTTTTAAAGTATCATCATTGTTGTGCTACATTAAAATAGGTTAGGTGATAAAGTAATTTTGAGTTGCACTAAACGATCTCTGAGAGTTCTGTTTTAATATTCCAGACTTTTAAGGCCAGGGAGGTATCACTATTTTATTAAAATATGCCTGATTGTTAGAACTGATAACATTTCTGTAGGATAACTTGCATTTGTAACCACTCCATCTAAAGTAATCTATGAACATTTCTTGTTAACTTTCCTGAACACTGTCTGTGTTCCATGAAGACTCTTATTTTTTCATGCTTCAATTTTTTCCATCCACTTCTTGCTTTTTGGTAAGCATAATGTTGCTTTTTGAGATTAAATGGCTTTTACTAGCCATTTACTAGTCACTAGAAGAGGAATTCCTTGAGTAGTTATTGGTTTAGGAACAAAATATCTAAAACAGACTTGCGATCAAATGGAAATATCTCTTTCAAATCAGAACATGTTTAGCTGACACTTTATTAGGCCCTAGTGTTTAGAGTTTCAGCTTGGAATTTTGTTTTGTTTTATTTTGTTTAAGGAAATCATTAAATCATTGTGAAGTACCTAGAAATCATTTTTTGGAGGGGTGAGGTGGAGGTATTTCACTGTTGCCAGCCACACTAGAGTAGTTTCTTCTCTGTTGCAGAAAGCTAGAGAAAAGTACATGATATATGCTTCATTTATTCTTTACAGATGCCTGTGTTTATTTTATCTGATTTCCTTACTAATTTTAAAGATTCTAGAAGATATAAGTTTTTTGCATGAACAGAAACCCAGATGTTAGTTATCATGTCCTCTGAATTTTCCTTCTCCCTTGTGGAAGAGAATATGCACACCCAATGTCATGCTTGTCAAGAACTGATCAAACTGGTAGCTCAGAGTTCACAAGTTAAATCTGAAAATAACAACAGCATAGTAGAGCTCATCTTTTTGGAGTAATGTAGGAAGTTGTATAGATCAGTCTTTTTGATGATAATTGATAATAGTTGAGTGTAATATGTCTTAAGGATGGGGTCCTAGAGAACTCTCAACAGCAAGACTGCCTGCTACAATGGATAAGGTATTAGTACAGACTGGAAGAGGGACAGATTCCTGGTTCTTTCAAAAACCCAAACTGTCCCAACCTTTTAAAATACTAATTTTTTACAAGAATGTGTTACATTTTTGCCAAGAATAAAACTTGTAGAGAAAAGCCTGAACAATAGCACTCGACTTCTGTGAATACTCACTCCTAAGGAAATACTGCTCATCTGTGAATTCACAAGGATTTTTTCTGTATAATCCAGATTCTGTGTCAGTTTTTGAACAGGCTTGTTCAGACTTGTTAAATCCTTCCTCTGAAATTCTAAAGAGCTTTTCTATACCCTGGGCTAAAAGACCCTAATCTTCTTCTTATAGAAATGATTTTGAGTAACCACTCTTTGGGTATTCACCCTGTTGCAGTTCTCTTTACTCCAATTTACCCTTCAAAAGATGAATGCTCTGTTTTTGATGGTTGCTCTTTTTTTCTAGATGATTCTTTAGATCAATATTATTCTCCCAGATATTGAAATTCTGGAACTGTGCAGCTATGGGAACAATGCAAGGGTTTGATTGTTTCTTTCAAACCCACAAACTAATCATCAACTGCTGCATTCAAACTTGCATTTTCAACCCAACTTCCCAAGACAACTTCTTCTGTGTTCAACAGAATAACTCATGAAGTCACATGAAATAAAAGTCTTAGCTGTAGAGATTTAATTTCACAGCTGGTTTCTCAAAAGACTAGATGAATACATTCATAAATAGCATGTTCCCAAACCTCATTTCTTCATGCCCAGTTAAAAAAAGCCAACGAATACATTTTTTTAAGCAACACGTGTTCCCGGTGTCAGTGCACATACGTGAGCTTTCCCAGAGATTATGAAGATGACTGCTTTAAGAAGATGAGCATGTATAGGCAAGAAGATGAATAAAAGATTTACAGTATGGAAAAAATTAAAGACTCCACAAAGCCTATTGATCATTCAAGTTTGTTGTATGTAGAAAATTTGACCTATAATAGAGGTGATTTCAAGGAGACATCCTTATCCCAAAAGTAGTTGAAATCTTCACAGATACCATTCACTTAATTCCCATTTACATGCCTAATTCCCACTAAAGTAATTGTGAATTTTTAGTAAAAAATGGAATTGCTCCAGATTTTCGGAAATATCAGACATCTACTATTTATCAGTTTTATTGCAAGTTAAGTTCTGGACCAAAGCACCATCCAGGTACAAAACAATGACCAGACACACGAGGCTAAACTGATAAATACTCAAAACCAGAGCCCTATTAAGTTTAGCTAAAATACCATTTTAATTATTTTCATATTGCAGGTGGATATTTTTAAAATAAAATCTGTATACCTTGGCAAGTTGAATGAAGTTCACATTGGATTTAAAAGTCTAAGAAAAGGTCGGTAATTTTTTTCTGTTAATGTAAGGTAATGATGTAGATTATTAGATTTAAGTGATCAAAGTACTTCAGAAATGTCTGAAATTTAACAGAAAAGTGTTTATTAAAAATTCTAGAAAATATTAATATGAATAGAATAAATATTAATAGAAAAAAAAATCCATTTTCTGCTGTTCATTATTTCTTTTGGATTATACACGTCAAGTATCTAGATCCAGCTTGGTTTTACTAAAGTGTGCAGGAAAGGAAATACTGCGACAACGTAAAATGGTAAAATTATATATGAAACTTTTCTCCATGGAAGTTTCTATCTTTTTATAAGCACAGTCAACAAAGCTTTTGTTTTTCAGGAGGCAATATGACACCATGCTTTTGAAACTTGTGTAAATTTCATATTCCTGTGCATTTTTAGATGCTGGATAAGTAAAAAAAAATATTTTCAGGGCTATATGCTTCTAGGTAAAGATAAGAACATAAAATTGGTTCATTAGGTTGAGAAGTGGAACACAGAAGAAATGCTATTCTGGCCTTATAGGTTCTTTCCTTCTAATCCATTTTTTTTTGAGGGATCCTTCATATGTGAGGTTGATTGGCAGATAAAAGCTGTATTCCTGCAGCATTTTTTCTCATCCTACTTCTGACTCCAGCAATTGTAGCTGAAGAAAATTTGCTTATTTCTTGAAAATAAATAATCAACAGCAAAAAGTATCATGAATTTGTATTTTATTCAATCCTTTGGCTACAATTTTGACCCATTGTTTTTTTAAAGGCAACATAATAGAGATTCTACAGGTATCTTATTCCTGCAGATAGTGTTGATAATGGAAATGACTGTTCCAGAGTAGGATAACCTGTGTCTATTGTTCTCTCTTCTTTTCTGAAAAACCCCAGGATTACAAAATGACTCTAGGTTAAATTCAGACTCAGGAAAACCAGCTGGGAGACTATTTCCTAGATGGTAACATTAAAATGAACAATCAAACTTTCATTCACTTCAGCAAGACTGGTAGCGTAACCAAGTTTACCAAGACTCAGAGATCTGACTCTACAAATGCATTGTTTCCAAGGAATCATGGTCTCAAATTGAGATAAAACTAGTTGAAGTTTGTTCCTTATTATATAGAATGGAACCTCACCAGAAAGAAAGCTGTGTGTTGAGTGGATTTTCTGATGGCTAATGTCATAGAAATACTGACCCTTTTTCCATTAGGACATTGATAGTATAAAGATCTGTAAAAACACTGACTATTTTGGAGTGTAGTGGACAGAAACACATACACATAGCCAATATATTTTCAGAAGTTTTATTCCTTAAGTCTGTCAAAGGAAAACCTTTAATTGATTTGATGAAGGTAGAAACTTACGACTGCATCTACAGAATATTTTGTTGCTTTAAAGGTATAAATTAATAATGTCCTGTTTCTTTTCAATCAGATGGATGGTTTTTGGAAAAAATTGTTATAAAAGAAGTCTGCTACCCTTTTTCTGCACATGTTTTTTTTCACAATGGCTGGATCAATAAACGCTCCAATGAAGATTTTATAGAAGTTGCAATTCCTCTCAAAGGTAATACAGGCAGAAGTGTCCTTCATTTCCATGCATCACTCCTGCATGGCAGAGCAGATAAAAACTGGTATAAGTTTACTTCACACAGTAGGAGGTGTTGGTACCCCAATGGTAACCCAATGGTGTGGGGCACGAGCCAGGGCCAAGGTGAATCACACCTTCTGTAAACAAAGGGGAAGAAATTATGCCTGGGATGGAGAAATTTGAAATGGTAGTATTGAAAGATTCTCCTCTGGCAGGACATTTCCTGTCCTTGGACCAATACAAAGAAAAGAGGCATGGCCTCTGTGTGAGTGTGACATGGATCCTTGAAGCCACTGGCCTGGTTTTCTATCCCTTCATGGGGCTAACATGAGTAATGAGGGGATTGTAGCTTCATTGCCTGAATTTCCTGTGCTAGATCCTGCACTAACAGGCAATATAATATTTTGGTTTGTACTGCCTTATAACAGATAGGGGCTCTAAATATAGGTTTGCTTTTACTGCAGAAACATCTGTTACATGTCTTCCCACCGAAAATTTAGAAACGAAAAGTAGAGGACGATGGCAAACATGGGTGCACTGCATGCAAGTACCAGAAGATGTTCCTAACATTCAAGTTGTTGCATTTGGAAGAAAAGGGAAATCCCCAGCACAGAAAGTTCAAAATCTAAGTGATACTCCCTTTTTGGTTGGTTTGTTTTATGTTTCATGCAAGTCTTACCAAATGGTTTCAGTAAAATAAGAATTGTAGCCAATATGTAGACATTATGTGGACTGGTTGTTGGTTTGTCAGAGTTAATGTTTATTCCTCTATGTCTTAAATAAACACAGCTTGGAGAACTTCTCACCTGTAGGCCAAAACATATCACTTAGAAAAACTCCCTTGAGGAAATGCCAAATTTCATGGGAAAAACCTCATTAACTTTGAATTAAGTGAGGAGAAAAGAACCAGCCTTGAAAATACAGAATTCAGTTATACATTTCCTTCCTTTGTTGTGTTGGCCTATGCTATGCAACCAATTCCCTCAGTAAAAAATAATATAATTTATGATACAAATGAGAGTCCAAATTAACTTGCACTCTTAGTAGGACTTCCTCACCCTAACTCTAACCTCATTGACTAATATTTTTACCTGTAGTATGTATCTTTTTATTGGCTTTAAAGTATGCCGTGCAAATTGTTGCATAAAAAATATAGTTAATTATCACTATTTCTTTTCTAACAGTTGACCTTTGGTGATATTGGAGACATAACAAAAGTCTCCTTTGTGTTATGTGGTCCATCCTTGAGAAGAGGAATTGAGCTTCACAAGGTATTCCAAGTATAACACGTGTAAACTTGCAGTGTTTTTCAACATAGCAGTAAATAAGTTTTGTTGAGACACAGATGGTCTCAGTTACCTGGTATCTACAGATGACTGCCTACAGCTTGCAGGTCTCTTTGTGGGCAGCTCGACCTTGTTTGCACCTGCTGAAGTGCATATTGCTATAGCTCTTCACTGTGTGCAGACTCATTCTGCACAATTCATTGTGACATGGAAGGCAGTGTCTCTTGCTGATGTTAGGAGATGTTAATTCCTGCATGGAAATACTGACAGTCTCCAGACTGAGACCAACCTACCTGTGGAAGCCAATTAAGATAATATTCAGTATCTATTCTTTGCAAGATGGTCATCAGTGGGCCTTAAACCTCTGATTGTAGTCAATACATCTTTAAGAATTCTCATAAAAAGGAATGGAGAAAGGACTTAATGCTGTCAATCTTAAAATAGAATTAGAATTTAAAAACATATTTAAACTTGAAGGTTAATTCAAGGGAAAATCATGTCAATGAGCTCTGCCTATAGGCAAGGGCAAAAAGCCCCATTGTGGACATAGCACTGAATTAATCTGAAGTCAGCAGAAGAATGCTTTCCTGAACTGAGCCACAGAATCCCTTAACCTTGCTATGGATTTGAAAGATCAAGGTGATTCCTTAAATGCATAAAGACTCCAGAAACTGTTCTGATGAGAAATGCTAGAGACAGCTGCATTCCAGACTAAAATGTGAATGGGCTTGTGGCTCTCATAGACACCCTGAGTCTGAACTTATGAGCTCCTCTGAGGATAGAGGAGGAGTTTATCTTGTATTTTCTCCCCAGCTAATTTTGTAGCCTCAGTTTAGGTTATAAAAATGGAAAGAATAGGTAAGCAAAGCTAATTTCTCATTTTAAGTATACATCTCTAGGCCATTTGATAAAGCATTCCAAAAATATTTTGACACTACATTTAATATATCCATTATGTAAGATAAGACTTCAGCCTCCAGACCTGGTGGCTCAAAATATGGCAGAAAATTCATAAATAGGTTGCTATAGACCTAAGCAGTCTATATTTACATGTGCAACCCACAGCATAAGCTGCAATAACTTCTATTGCTTTTGCCATTAATATGCTTATATCTAATACTAATTTAATAGTTTATTTATAAATTAGGTATTTTATATTTTTATTTTACATTTTATATTTTACATTTTACATTTTACATTTTACATGTTACATTTTATATTTTATATTTTATATTTTATATTTTATATTTTATATTTTATATTTTATATTTTATATTTTATATTTTATAGTATAGTTTTCCGCAAAATTCTGTAATGAATTATATAACCTTATCTGAAATTTATGTATTTTCTATAACTTCTGAAGATTTATGTACTATAGAATGAGTAGCTATTTCTTGTTCCAAAAGAGTTTCTGGCTTTCCCTAAAATAGAATACAAACCCATTTCTTATGTTAGTTTAGAATATAGAAACTCTATATCATTTGAACATGAAGTTCACACTTAGATGTAATCTTAGAACTAGCAAGAACTTGTCAGGTGTGTTTTATTTTAAGGTCATAATCTGCATAAATTTGCACACCTCATTTTTATGAGTCCAGTTTCTGCAGGCTGTCTGCCTGCATATGCAGGTAAACCTTAGTGCAATTTTAAGACAGACAGGAGTTTGTGATATTGTCCTGGGGTGATTAACCCTAAACCAGGACAGATATGTATTGATATTTATGATATTTCTATGATATAGAAGTTAGGAGGAAATATTTTTATATAAGAAGATGTTATACATTTCATATAAAAAAAATTGTTATTGCAAATGCAAAATATAGGTAAACAATGGGCTGTAATTATAGTGGAATTTATTAATATCTAAATAAACCAAACTTTTATTCAACTAATTAATGGTTTAAGTCTAGAAATGGATGTGGGGTATTGTTTACTTCCATCTAGAAGCCCTATAACTGACCTTGTAAAGCACTGGACAGATTGAATAATCAATCATGGAAAATGTTAGGTCATTGCATTTCTAAGAACTCAAGGGCAAGACAATCTGACAAAATTTTTAAGAATGGTACTGTCAAATTCCCAATAATTTAATTTAGCTCATTTAGTTATATAAATATTTATATATCTCAAAGCTTGCAGTTGAAATTTGTGTGAGGAAATCTGTACTCAGGATTTGCAAACATTTGTATGTGTATTTTGCACAATGAGCACAAAGTTTTGCTGTTGCAGTTGTTGTCAATACTGGAAAGAAGTGACCACAATAATTTTGGGAATTCCTGCCTAAGAATATAAATTATTCACTGTCCTGATGAAATTAAGTTTTTGTTTCTTTTTGTTTCCTTTTGCTTTTTTAAAAATGTCTTGGCTATGCTGTTTCTATACAACGAGATTCTGAAGACTGAAGAAACTGTTCCTGCAAACTTGCAGTCATTAGCTATTTATGAAGTTCAATATTGCATGCAATAGTTACCAGAAATGTTTCTGCATAAACTTGATAGATTTTCACTCTGTATTTTGTAACCTGACCTAGGGTAGAATACATGATCTGAGCTGACCTCTTGTCAATCTCATTTCCACCTTGACCCTCTCAGCAGGGATATGTGAGCTCCTAAGGCTGTGCTTCCTCGGCTGGTTTGGAAGTTCTAAGTCCACAAACTTGACTCCTAATTTCTTCACTCTCCAATAACTATTTAAAGCCAAGTAGAATGAAGCTGGACCTAAGCTTGCCCATTCTATTGAATTTCATTCTTCAAATAATTTATTTCCACTGGCAGCTCTGAAAGCCACTCCACACCTAATCTCTGCCAACTTTGAAAATCCTACCTGAGATAGAGCAAGACTCATTTAAAAACATAAAAAAGTAGCAAAGCAAATGTTTTTGCATAATGGCCATATGCTATTAAGATTGATGTAACTGTATTCATTCATTTGACATTCTGAAATTGCAAGCACATACAGGTCAATTTAAGCTGTGTCTCTCATTGGATCTTTACAAATGGGCCCTATGCTTGTGTTGATATTCAATGAAGAATACACCTGTAAACATCAGGCTGCAGAATTAGCAGACTGAAGAAGCTGCTGTAACTATTATGCAGAACCAGGTAGCTGTTGTCATGTGTGTGCAGGAGTCAGTAAATGGAAGAAATGTCAGTTTCTATTGGGATGGGAATAGGAAATTAAATAATTAATTAAATTAATTTCTTTCTCTGATTCTGTCTGCAGCTTCGGCTAAAAGACCTGGACACTAAACAAGAGCTGGGCTTTCACACTGAAGCCCCATGTCTGTTTGGAGAAGATGGATCTGAGATGGTGACAGAGCTTGCTGCTGTCAGGCCAGACCAGCCACCACTCAGGGGTATGCTGCTGAAATGAAAAATAAATTTATGAGCACACACACATACAGAATTGTAAACTGCCTAATAGGATGAACAAGAGGCACAAGATTGCAAAGCATTTTATATATATTGAAAAAACACTCAAAATTACTTTTAATTATTTATTCAATAAACTGTGGGGTCACAGAATCACAGAATAACAAGGTTGGAAGAGGCCTTCAGGATCATCAAGTTCAGCTGAGCCCTAACACCTTAACTAAGCCATGGCACTGAGTGCCACATCCAGTCTTTAAACACATCCAGGGATGGTGATTCCACCACCTCCCTAGGCAGACAATTCGAGTCCTGCATACTTTCATAAAAATCTTTTTCCTGATATCCAACCTAAATTTCCCTTGGCACAGCTTGAGACTGTGTCCTCTCGTTCTGTCAGCTGCTGCCAGGAGAAAGAGACCAATCCCACCTAACTACAGACACCTTTCAAGGAGTTTCAGAGAGTGATCAGGTCACCTCTGAGTCTCCTTTTCTCCAGGCTCAACACCTCCAGCTCCCCCAGTCACTCCTCACAGGGTTTGTGTTCCAAGCCCCTCACCAGCCTCGTTGCCTCCTCTGGATGCGCTCCAGTGTCTCAACATCCTTCCTAAACTGAGGGGCCCAGAACTGGACACAGCACTCCAGCTGTGGCCTCACCAGTGCTGAGTACAGGAGAAGAATGCCCTCCCTGCTCCTGCTGGCCACACTACTCCTGATACAAGCCAGGATGGCGTTGGCCTTCTTGGCTGGCTCATGTTCAGTTGGCTGTCACCAGTACCCCCAGGTCCCTTTCTGCCTGGGCACTGTCCAGCCACACCGTCCCCAGCCTGTAATGCTGCAGGGGGATATTGTGGCCAAAATGCAGGACTTGGCACTTGGACTTATTAAACTTCATCCCACTGGACTTTTCCCATCCATCCAACCATTCCAGGTCTCTCTGCAGAGCCCTCCTGCCTTCCAACAGATTGACATACTTAGTGTCATCTGCAAATTTACTAATGAAGGACTCAATACCCTCATCCATGTCATCAATAAAGATATTGAACAGGACTGGCCCCAGCACAGACCCCTGAGGGACACCACTGGTGCCCAGCCCCCAGCTGGATGCAGCACCAGTCACCACCACTCTCTGGGCCCGGCCATCCAGCCAGTTCTGAACCCAGCACAGAGTGCTCCTGTCCAAGCCATGGGCTGCAGCTTTTCCAGGGAATGCTGTGGGAGACTGTGTCAAAGGCCTTGCTGAAGTCCAGGTACACAACATCCAAAGCCTTTCCTGCATCCACCAGGCAGGTCACCTGGTCATAAAAGGAGACCAGGTTGGTCAAGATCTACCCCTCCTAAACGTCTGCTGGTTGGGTCTGATATCCTGGCCATCCTGTAAATGCTGCATATATGTATCTAGTTAAAGCATTTTCTTCTGTTTTAAAACAACTGACATGTATTGTTTTCACTAGACTAAGTAAAAATTTGAAAGTCTGAAAAATGCATAAAGCCCAGTTAGTATATTTTAATGGCAGTTTTCAGAAAATGATTGATTTACACTTAGTGAGGGATTAAACTACAGATTACAAAAAGGCAGGTGCAAAGTTATAATGTCATGAATCACAAAGAGAAAATGCAGGGTTTTTTTAGGTTCTCTTCAAGCCCCATTTCTGCCCCCAAAGCCATATTTCATTTCATCATTGTATTTAAAATATGATATCTTCCTTTGTTCAGATTACATTTTATAAAATATGTAGAGAAGGATTCTTATTCATTATACTCTGTGAACAGAAGTCTTAGTTAAAATATTTAAAACTTTTTGCATGTAACATCTAACTGGAGGCTAGACTGCAAATGGAAATATATCTTAAGAGTCTGTTGTAACATTTAGTTTTTCACAGAACCCATTAAAAATCCTCTGTCATGCTGCCTCAAGTAATATGTACTGCATAACTCATCAGACAAAAGTCATGGCAAGCCATCCTTTGTTGTGAAGAATAATAACAAAGCATATTTGTATAAATAGCTGAGCCATTTCTGCTGAACATATTAAATGATGTTGGCCATAATTCTCAAAATATGAGATTAAAACACAATTCAGCTGATCCAGAACATAAAGTGGTTTTCATCATCTGTTATGTCTGTGTTTATTCCCCTGGTAAAATGTTAGAGTTGATAAATCCTTACTCAATTTAAGACCTGTAATTCCTACAAGAACTCCTGTCTTTTTTATGAAGCATGATAAGAACAGTCTGAGTCTTTCAGGTGACTCCAGAATCCAGAAGTAGGATATTTTCTCCCTCTGTAATGCAAGCATGGATTGTTTCATTGATTCATAAAGGACATTTCATCCCTAATGCTGTAGTGTGTGCTGTAAGATACCTAGCAATCCATATGAAACTCAGAAAATTGGTGACAATTCCTATAACTTAATTCCTTGGTCTTGAAATTAATCTTGTACCTATGATATATTGGTTTATAATGTTTGATAATTACATTGCTAATTTGGTAATGTCATGTGTCACTGATTTTTCCTGACAGAAGTTCTTTACTTGATCAACATCCATACAGGAACACTGCCTGCATCAGGAACTGATGCAGATGTATTTATCACAGTATTTGGAGAGTGGGGAGATTCCTGCAAAAGGAGACTAGGGCACTCACATTTTGAAAGAGGGAAGGTTAGTATTGAGTCATTTTCCTTGCATGTTTGTTTGATGTATTTAATTTTATTATTTTCTAATACTGTATGTCTTTCAGTTATGAAATACCAGCATGGATGTTACACTCTGGTAACGTGTGGAAATAAGGTGTTGTTTATTAAATATAGGCATTTTGCCTGAATTGAGATTACAGTTTAAGAATAGTTTGAGTACCAATAAATTTTAAATCCACAAACTATCAGTAAATTTTCTTAGAATCTGGAACTGAATCCAATGATATAAAAATTCTATGACTTAATTTTCACTTATTTGTGAAGCTAGTATAGAAATATCAGGGCTATTTCCTGTGTCTGCTCTTTTAATTTTTTTTTTTTTTAATCTGCCCAGATAGAGTTGAAAGAAAGATTTTAAATGTGTTACCTACTAGATATTAATTAATCCATTTATCTACAGAATTGCAAACAGGCAAGCCTAACTGTAAAAATAATTATCTGCTAAGGATAAATCCTAGGAGAGATTTTCTGGTCAACCTTTGCTTATTACCATATTAATGATTATATCTACAACATGTTCACCCATACCCTGGACTCAGAGCACTTGATCAATTCATTCTATACAATAAAGAAGATTCCTCTGCATGTTTTCATAGTGTTATGCTCTCTCGTGCCTGAGATGCCATAACTTTCCTTGGCAACCTGCTTCCACTGCTTTCCTAGCCTTGCACTTAACAACTCTTCCTTCACTAGATTTATTATGTCTTCTTGAGCTTAGAAACCAGCCACATCATTTTGTTCCGGAGTTATGCTCTAGTCATTGACACTTTTTCTTCCATGAATTTGTATATATTCTTCTATAGACATGTGATAAGTGTCCATAGTCTCCACTGTAATTTTAATTGCACTTGGTCTGCTACCTGAGTAAAACTAAACTTTCACATACTACTTAAATCTCATACCACATCTTTTTTTGGAAGACACAGTAAATGTTTTCTTCCATGTCACCTTCTCTTTGCTTCTCCCTTGCTTTATAGACCTCTACCCTCTGTGCACTTATATTGCTGCATTGTTCTTTGCAAAGAAGAATGTCTCTTCAGTCTTCCTAATTAGACCTTTCTATATGTTGTTCTGACTCTTCAATAATACTTCCTTTTCTTTAACATGCCATTTTTTCCAGAATCCTGCTGTCTTAGTCCAAACTGCGCTATAACGATATAGGAAGAGCTTTATGATGTTAATTGTCTGGATGATATTATTAAAAACACAGGTTAATCTTTGGCATTCCTGAGGGAAAATGTTTATGGACAATTAGAAGGGTTAATCAAAGGTGTAAAGGCACATAGTCAGTGACATAATCTGGAAAAGAAGTCTAAAAAGAAGTGATTCACTTGGCATTTCATACTGGATGCTAATACAGAGGCAGTGATGCAGCCTCTATGTTAGTGATAAAGAAATCAGAGCCACTACACTGAGCAGCAGAGTGCTGAGAGTCTTCCCAAGCAATTCCTTTGTTTTCAGAGAGCAGTTTTTGTGCTGAAGACAATGCAAGTGTTCTTCAGTTTAGGTATTTTGTGTGTTCACACTCTTCATTGTTTGATAGATTCCTGGGAAAGGGTTGAGCTGTGGGATGGCAAAATGTTCTGACCATACGGAGCTATTTAAGGTAATAAATATTAAAGCTGGTGGCAGAGACTGCAGAAGAACCTCATACACAGTGAATGGGTAATAAAATGGCAGATTAAATTCTTTGTAGCTAAATGAAAAACAGTGGCTGCGGGGGGGAATAACCCTTTAAATTTGCATGCAAAATGATGGGCTCTGAAATATGAAAGTAGTAGGATGTCATCGCAGCAGAAGCAAACCAAAAGGAAAACAGAACTAATAAGATGCTTAGAAATTATTAAAAAAAAAACCCCAAAAACCAAAAAAAACCAAAAACAAACAAACAAAAAGCAAAACAAAAAACCAGCCACTTCAAAGCAGAAAACACAATTATGCCTCCAAAGATATTCACTAGTGCAGATGCTGTGTTTTGTTGATTCACTTGTATTAAAAAGTGCAAGAAGAATGTCAAGTAATTTGAAATATCTTCCATACAAAGAACAGTGAAGCAAACAAGTATGTTTAGTCTGGAAAAGACATGATGATCAGAAGGGTGAGGGAGATAAGAAATACAAAATGGCATAGAGAAAATGAACATTTATTTCTTCGTGAAATACAAGAACTCAAGAGCATTCAATGTAATGTGCAGGTGGCAGATTCAAAACAAAAGGAGGTGGCTTTTTGCTCGATGTGTAATTAATACATTTTACTTTCTGGCACAAGATGTTGCAGATGGTAAAAGACATATTGGTGAAAAAAGCCATTGCACATTGTCATGGAAGACAACTTTCCACTGAGGCTGTTAAGTGCAAAGACATAATCTCTGTCTCAGGCAATCTCTGAACCACAAATTGCAAAAGGCTGAGAGACTTTATATTCAAGAAGCATCTCTATATATTTGCCCTGTTTTTCAACTCTTCCCTAGAAATCTGTTACTGGTAGCTGTTGGCAACACTATACTGGGCTAGATGGATCTGCAATTTAAAATACTACTACCAGTTTTGCATTCTTTTTACATAGAAGTTCATCAATAAAAAAGTTGGAATGGGGTTTTAGCGAGAGTTTTTAAGAATAGAAGGTGAAAGGAAGAAGTTCAAAGGGCAAGCTGTCTTGAGAGACAAGATTATGTCAGCAATATTCCTGAAAAATGTGGAATGGACAGGCAAAGAAAACAAAGTTAAGGAAACTTGAGATACAAAAAAGATATCTCTTGACTGATAAAGAACATGAATATAAGGAAAAGGTAGGAAGACAGGAAATTTCAACCAAGTGTAAGAAAACAGAGTAAAATGGGTTTGCAAAACAGTTTAAATAAAATCCTTTTGGCTTTCATTAATTGTACTTCCAGTAGTGTGTTTAATGCAGTTCCAAATGTCTTTATACTGAAGGGGAAAAAAAAAATGTAATGACATCAACCAAAAGTACATTCTTACTAATGCTGAGGGAGTAGGCAATTTAATGTATTATTATGAGAATTCATTGATAACAATGGGTGATTATGACCACTGTTGTCTAATGAATGTTAATTATTATCACAAAGAATGAAACTAATGATAGGTCCCTTTCTCAATTAGAGTTAGCTGTGAAGGAACATGAATATTAGCAATACAGGCTATTTCCTCTAAGTCAAAGGTCATGTAGACTGACAGGAAAATTATATTTGGCTTGGAACTACAAAGAATAAAATTAAAAAGCAGCGAGTGCTCCCGAAAAGTTATTTGCAAGATGTTCTCCCAGCTAGATCTTATTTTGGGCTACATAGACTTAAATGCAGGGCTATAACTTGCCATGGTAACTGTTTGAGGATATCGTGGAGATAACAAGGTATGAATGCTGGAAGTCCTAAGGCTGTGATAGGAATAATAACTTGGATGTTTTCTTTTACTGATCACATTGTGGAGAAGTCTGACACAGACAGGAGAATGGACCAGATGACATAATTTGTTCTAAAAATCTTATCTTCCTTCATTGCTTTCTGGTCCTCATGCTTTTTCCTGCCTGGTGGCAAATTGGTTGGCAACAAATAAAAATTATAGCGTCTGTTTCTACTATCCATCTGGGGTTTTTTTAATGTCACCCACACACATGCCCATGTATCTACCCACCCACTTAAATTATCTCGCACAGAACACATTCATTCTCTCACTCACATAATTTATTCATCCCAACATGCACTAGTGCAGTTGCCATTTAGCTTTTGTTTACTGGTAGCCGTAGCAATATTTAAACAGATGTCTATTTACATCCGAGGAGCACATCAATTCTTGCCTGTATGCGTGCAGAGCCTTAGTTATAGTTTCTAATGCCAGTATCTTCCTTTGTTTGCATAGTCATCAACAGTATTTTTGTTCAGAGTTGAATAATACAACATTTCCTATTTGAATAATAGGGTGTCTTAGAATGTAAAATACTTGGAAATGTTTTAAAATAAAATTCCTTATCTAAACAAAAATTTAAGTTACCAGGTCTATCCTGATTCTTGAAAAACTGCCTTTGTTTCAGCTATGAGGGATTAACCGAACTTCAGTTTTCGTGAGATTTTTCTAGGTTTTTCAATCAGAGGTTTATTTCTACCTGAAACAGGGAGATGTTTTTTGTAATAAAACCTGAGCTGCAGTGATCATGAAGAAGAATAAATGTATATATTCAAGGATCCACATAGTCTCTGAAAAAAAACATAAAACCCCCATAGTTCTCCAAATATTAATGCCAACCTATAACATCTTTCCTTATTTTCAGAAAAAGATGCTCCAACATTGGAAGGACTCTGTCTTTCCATATGCAAACTTCTCAAAGACAAAAGATAAGATATATGGTCTAATCAGTGTGCTATTCTTTTTGCCTCTCAGGTTTGTATGTCTGAAATGAGAGCAGTTGACCTTGGACAGTTGAGCAAAGTGCTTGTGGAGCACCATAATGTGGGTTATGGAGCTGGATGGTACCTGGACCAAATTGTCATCCAGGAATCAGGCAAGACTGATGAACAATATGTATTTCTTTGCCAGCAATGGTTAGACAGTGGAGTTGGTGATGCACAGACGGAACGAACATTGAAACTTCTTGGAAAAGTCAGGAATGGAATGTTGACAGGAAAGATTTATGGTAAGGTCCAAAATCCTCAAAGTCCTTCCAGCTTTTATTTTAATTGTAATCTATAATATTTTCTTTGTTATTTTTAAGGCTAAAACCAAACTACAGAAACAGTATAGCTTGAATGTAAACTGCCTCTCTCATACCCATTGTCTCTCCAAACACTTCCCAGAGATGGTAAATACAATTACAATGCTCAGGAAAGAAAAACTAGAGCATAAGGGAGATATTAAGTGTAAGAGGCAATGAAGGTACTATGATTTTAGTTGAGTTTAGAAAAAAAAGCTGAAGCAGAAAGAAGTAGGTTGTTCCATATGGCATTCAATGCAGAGCAGAAGGCTCCTGCAACAGTGATGAAATCACAAGAAGAGATACAAAAACTCTTTTAGCAGAATGCGATTTTCCCTTATGTTCATATATTTGTAGAAAGCATTTGCTTTTATTTGCAGTTTTCTTTTTTACTTATATCAATGGCACAAGTTCTTGCAAACAGTTAGTTGACCTGAACTCCATATTCTATTCAAATTGTTTAATTAATAAACAACCAAAATTCAGAAACAACTTAGACACTGAAAACATGCTTTGCCAGGATACTGGATTTTTTAGCTCTCTCGTGTCTTTTTTGAAGAGGTGTAAAATTCTGGTTTGGGTCCATTTATGAAAACTGAATCAGAACTGATAGACCAAGCTATGTAAAGTTTAACTAATCTGAAGGTGTGAATTTGCATTCTGTATCAGCCATTTTGTAAACCGATCTCTATTAACTTCCATGATCCTGAATATTTTTATGTTCAGAGAATTTTATACTATACATAGTTGCAGACAAAACTAATAGATTATATCCTCATATTTAGACATCTGTAGTTACTTGTGAATACCTCATATCATCTAACAAACAGAAATATTGTTACTGATAAACAGAAGAACAGAAAACCGTGGAAATCTAGGCATAGCATGAGCAGCTAGAGCAGTGACAATTTCAGAACAAGAAATAGATGTATTTCACCACTACAAGTATTCTAGGTCTCTATCAAGTAGATTCCATAGGTGTTCTGCATAGTCCACAGAGTGGTGTCTCCTGAAGGTAATTCAGAGCAGAAGCCCAAGGTTGGTCAAAGTCTGTCACATCTTTTTTCACTGAAAATATGAAAAGAGAGATAAATCTTTGTTTATGCACCTCGATTAATTCTGAATATAGCTATGCAAAAACAATTTCCTTCCTTGGTTTCCCACACACACAGTCTTCAAAAATCTGAGTACAGACTTGCTAATAATTTCATGTCTATGGTTATTTATACTCAGTGCTGCATCTATTGAAAATAATTTTTGGTCTGGGTGTATAATAAATCCAGAAATAATATGACAGAGATCCAATGCCGAATGGATAAATAAAAGAAAAATCAGCAAAGCACAATATACCTTGGGGGTCAGAAATTATGTGGACACAATGGAACTTACTAAATTTCAAGCTAAATCAGATTTTATAAAAGAAGTAAAACAAAGAGCAAAGGTTCCTCAACCATTTTCTTATGAAGAGAACCTTCAAAGATGAGTAACTTCTCAGGAACAATAGAGTTCAGACTGAAGATCATGTAGGTATAATCCCTAAACAAATAGAATACCTTGTCTCTTTTTTCATTAAGGAACCATAATGTTGGCCAGAGAAGCAAAAGCACAGTTACTAATGAGATGAGCTTACTGGAAATCAGAAAATTTGAAACACAAATAGAACTTTAAGTTCCATTTACTCAAACAGTGACAATCAGAGTAACTGTTAGTCCAGTGGCAGATCTAATAGCAAGGATTTAAACCAATTTTATGAAGGCTTAACATCATCAAACATAATTCCTCCATCTAAAAATTAGAAAGCATAATGTAGGTGAATATAGACCTAGTAACTGTTCACATGAAAAATCTTTATAACACACTATTGAAGAAAAGAATAGTTGAAACAACAGAGGCAAATAGGAAATGGGAAGGAATACACCATGACTTTACTAAAGATGGACTCTAAAACATTAAAGCAAAAAACAAGAAAGTGAAAAGTTTCTTGTCATTACCTAATAATTTCCCATAGAGAAAATAAAATTCAAGTATTTGAATTCAAAGTAAAAGAAGAATTGTAAAGAACTGGAGAAGAGAAAATGAATATATTAATGAAATATTTTAGTGCTACTAAGCTCTTAGTGCTATCAGGAGAATGAGAGATTGTGTGATAAATTTTGAGAACTGAACAAAAGGAATTGAACAGGATTCTGTGCCAAACAGCTTGTACACAATTGGGTTTAAACTCAACTAGCTATTTGAGCTCTCAATTCGGATACACAATCCTAATTTCAATTGTTTGGGGGTTTTCTTAGAATCAGAAACAACTTGTAGCTAAGGGTCTAAAAACTGTATTTGATCTGTATTGCCGTATTTTGAAATGGTTTCTGCTACACAAATTCATCAGCAGGAGAACTATGAGAAATACCTGTGCTTGTTATAAGATCACAGGATAATTTTGAGGCAGTAATGTGACATGGCTATGGGGTTACTGTGCCCCCCACAGTGTATGTAGACATTATCAGTCAAAATCAAAGTGGATTACTGGCTTTACAGAGAAACTGTGATATTTTACCAGCAATGTTGTCTGTAATTGTGGCCACCTCTGTCCAGAAGAACTGGATCAAACTGCAATAATTGTAAAGATATGATGACTGAGAAAATGGCACCTCTTTGTTGTTAAAGGGTATTGAAAATAGTGAGATTCAGAATAGCTAATGAAATGCTCAAAGTGGACACAGTAGTGATCAATCAAATTAATGGTGGCTTACACATCAAGGAGGGAAGAGAGTTATTTAAGCTAACAAAGTTGTCATAAAAATAAATGGCTTTCAGTAGTCCATTAATACCTTTCTGAGAGAATTAAAAGATTTCTGAGAAAGAAACAAAGAAAGATTAGATTTTTAGCATTGCACTCTGTGTTGGGTTGACCCTGACTGGATGCCAGGTGCCCATCAAGGCTGCTCATCGTTCCCCTCCTCAGCTGGACAGGAGAGAAGAAAACACAGCAAAAGTCTCATAAGTCAAGATACGGACACGGTGAGATCACTGAGCAGTAGTTGCCGTGGACCAAACAGACTTGACTAGGGGAAATGAGCTTAATTTATTACCAATGAAATTAAAGTAGGATAATGAGAACTAAACCCAAATCTAAAAATTCCTTTCCTCCTTCCTGGGCTAAACTTTACTCCCAATTTTCTTTACCTCCTCCCATCCGGTGTGCTGAGGGACAGGAAATGAAGGTTGCAGTCAGTTTATCTCACTGTCTCTATTACTTCTTCCTCTTCCACTCCAGCATGGGGTGACAAGAGATAGTCCTCCCCAAAGTTCTCCAAAGTGAGGTCTTCCAACTGGCTGCCGTCTTCATGAGCTGCTCCAGCATAGGTTCCTTCCAGGAAGGTGTAGTCCTTAAGGAGTAGACCTGCTCCAGCACAGGCTCTCTCCATGGGGCCATAAGGTCCTGCTAGGAGTCTGTTCCTCTGCAGGCTTCCATGAGGTCATATCCTCCTTTGGACATCCATCTGCTCCATCATGGGATTCCACATGGGCTGCAGATGGATATCTGCCCTGACATGGATATCCATGGTCTTATGGTCTTTACCATGGGCTGCAGAGGAGTCTTTGCCCAACCTCCTTCTGCACTGAGCTGAGGAACTGCAGAGTTGTTTCTCCTGCATTTTCCCACTCTTCTGCTGTTGCAATTGGGCAGGTCTTTCCCACCCACTTTCTTAAATGTCTTATCCCAGAGGTGCTCTCACTGTCACTGATGGCTCAGCCTTGGCCAGGGGTGGGTCTGTCTTGGAGCAAGCAGGCATTGGCTCTGCTGGACATGGGGGATTCTAATGACTTCTTACAGAAGTCAACCCTGAAGTCCCCCTGCTACCAAAACCTGGCCACACAAACCCAAAACACTCTTTTATACTTAACTAATGGGAAGGTGGGAAGTCACTTTTAAATTTAATCTTAATAAATTTTTCATAAATTATGCAATTTAATTTACGTATTACAGCAGCGTATGGTACTGTACGATCCAGCAGACATAGACCTACCATTCAGACTTCCTGGGCAGCTATACACTGATAATTTAATGGCCCAGTATTTCAGTACTAAAGGGCTAAAATATTCTAGATTATGTCACATGGGATGTGATGAGTTTTCATTTGACTTCCATTTTTTTCACAGAGATCATTGGTTTCATTTACATATGATGTTCATAGGTATGAAAATAGATTTGGGATTATTCATGAAGTTGTAACACTGAAGTTATTTAAGGTGCTTTTACAGATGGTTAGTACTAAATTTTTATGTCAACAAGTGCTAGATTTATGGCACAGATCCTCACCTGATCTAAAGCAATAAAACTTTATTTGCATTAGTTATAGTAGGAGACAAAGACTTTCCTGCTCTGGTTAGGAAGCTGAGGTGACTGAACATTCTGAAGCCGAGGTAGGAAGCTGAGATTTATGGACATAAACTCAGAGAGTCTCTGATTCCACTACTCAGAGTAAAACAACCTGTTTTACAAAGTAGCTATTTGAAATTATCAGATCCATACTTCGTCTCACTTTGCTCACAGGGCTAAGTCATATCACTAACAAATTCTGCTCAATTCCGCAGTAGCCCGAGTGACCAAAAATTCTGATTTTCACAATTTTTAAAAATTGAAACCATGTCTTTGATAACTCTGAATTTTCCATATATGCTATTAACATGAATTAGAACATTAAAGCTAGCTAAATCAGGGAGATTTTTTTGATGGGTAGAAGTTTCTGATCTTCAAAACTCTCGTTGATTGAAGCTTCAACCAAATATCTGTTCCATATAAAGTTGCAGAAGTTACTTAGGAGCCTACCTGGCATCAGTCTGCAGTCCTGAGCCTTCAGGGATCTGTCAATTAATCTACAATGCTTAAGTGACTAAATGCTTCAAAAAGACCTAGTAAAAATTCTCCTGGTATATTTCCTGAGTCCCTAAAGTAGACAAATCTATGTGATGCTATATAGGACTATTTTTAATCTCTCAGCAAGCGTTACTTCCTCACATAAGAAATGGATAAAGTTTTGTACTTTGCTGTCATGATGATTGTGGTGAGGTGGGATAAAAATATCACATTTCAAGTTCTGAACCAGTTTATCTCATCACCATCTTCTTATAGTATGTATGGAGCAAATTTTAACACGTTCATTCAAGTAAATGCCCAAAAAGTTAAAATGAAAATACACCCTTCCCTGACCAAAAGCAAACCTGATAACCAGTAGTATCTTGTAAAAAAATATACTGCTTTTGAATGGTGACTAGTGAGAAAAAATATTTTAAATCATCAGGAGATATTTATAAGGAGCAGGGGGAGAAATCACATTGTCATGGCTCTTCACAAGTCTCTAATGTGGAGCTGGCAGTCTCATCTGCACATTGCTCTTGGACTGGCCCATCTCTAAAATATCAGCTACCACTAAGAAAAGGCTGATGTCCAAATTTGCTTTTCACTAAATCAATGATAGTGAGTGAACCTCAATATTATGTGCCAATATTTGAGCACAGTGAAAAGGTGGGAATAGGTCGCTATAGCCACTCACTAAGTCTGTTATGAACTGATGTATTATTTTGGATATTCAGCAAACTCATTAATTTTTTTGCTGTTTTATTTCAACAGGGATTTGGGATGTCCACGTCACAACTAGTGATATTTCTTCTAGTTCCATGAACCCTAAAATGTCTCTAACTGTATGTGGTGAAAAAGGAACTTGTACTTCAGTCATATTCCCCAAAGGATCCCTTAAAAAAGAGCAGATTTATGAGACTTCTATTGAACTAAGTAAGAAATTTAATACTATATTCAAAGTTCGCCTAGAAATTGAAGAAGCTGGAGAAGGAGAGACTTGGCATTGCCATAAGGTAAAATCTAAAACCTAAAGCAATTATTTATTGTTTCTCTATTATTATTATTATTATTTTTTGCTTTCCATATTCTACTGTAATTTCTTCCCTTTTTTCGTCCTGTCTGAGATTGCAAAATTTTTAATTTACAGAAGCTGCAATGCTTGTAGAGTGCTCACTTCAGAGACTGCACAAAACACTAGGATAGCTATGGATAGCAAAAATCTTGTGAACTTGGATGGATTGCTGGAGAGCCAAATATACAGATGTGCCATCATCTGTAGCATATCCAGTGATGTCTTTTCAGAACTGTACCACTGGCATACATTGCAGTATTTACATAACTCCAAACTGGCTGTTACATGTTGTAGATTCAGTGATCCATGGCAAATAATTAAGGCAGACACTAGGAATACATTTTGATGAAACTATCTGCCTTTTAAGTTGGCATGTGAAAAAAAGAAGTGAATAGCAAAAGTGACAATCTTTCCTCTGATATCCAGCTAAAATCCAACATCACACTGAAATTGCTGTGGCATTTCGCTATATGAAAAAATATCTTCATCTTCTTATGCTGGCAAAATAGAAACAATTCTAAAGGAGAGTCATCTTCTTCAAAATTGCAGACATGCTTTTGTCTACTAAATTAATGTTTCTATTTTGTTCTTATTAAAAACTGGAGAAAAAAATAATTTTTCTTCCCAATACATGGTATTACTGAGCTGAACTCCCTGACATTTAAATGGTAGGCAGGTTGTTAATTTCATCTTCATAGCCACATGAAATAGTCATCCAACAAATCTATCAAAATTAAGACTGCTTCTGGAATATTGTAGGAGACAGTAAATCACAGCAAAAATTTCAGAACAGAAACTTGGCAGCTGAAAACAGTGACATCTATTAGTCTGCTTTACTTCATTAGCTCAGAACAATCTCTCAAAGCTCAGTTTAAGAGAAATCAGCATAATTTATATAAATAAGGAAAAGATATACATTTACTTTAAGTGGGAAGAGGTAGAGAAAGAAATTATAAATTTCCGTGCTTTGAGATACATGTAAATTATGTGGGTCTTACGAAGACATTTCCTCTTATTCCACAGTTTTTATAGCAGGAGTGGCTGAATCCTTGTATGAAATAGCTGGGTTTCTATAGGAAGCTGTGGATAATATCTGTTATTAAAGTCAGCTTAGCAGTGTATTTACACTGCTGGTTTGAATCAGTGTGGTCATTTCTATGCTATTTTGTTTTGATTTTATAAGATTGCACCTCCAGAGAGTCTGAGATTTTCCCCTTCTATCAAAAGTAAATGCAGGTGTAGTTGGTTGAATTCTGTATTTAGATTCACACTTCATTTTTATAGCCATAACTACAAAACAATAATCATGATTTTTTGAGGAAATTGAAATCATTATAAAATAATGCCTAGAACAAAATTAATTAAGGTATGTCTTATTTCTGTAGCATGTAATTGCTAAAATCTTCATTCTTGTGCCTTTGACTTCCTGAAGAAATAGAGTAAATGAAACCTGAGTTTCAATAAACTGTTCAGGAACGTAGATATTATTATGAAGACAAAATTGTGCTAGCATTATACTTCATAGTGCATTTGAAAAGCTCTTTTCAGTGTGTCTGTCATAATGAAACATACTAAGAGTCTTTTGAAGACAAAATAATGCTACCATCTCCCAGAGACAATTCCTAACCAAAGCTGGTTTTGCTTACTGGCTTAAAGGTTTGGACATTTTAGTGAGGTCACAAAGAACTGAATGAGTGAATTTTGTGTTCCATTTTCAAAGAAGGGTTGCTTCCTACAAAATATTTTCAAATATGTTTCTGGTCTAGGTTTAAATAATTTAGAAAATGGGAATTTATCTCAGTGTTGCTGATAGTACCATAGTGTAAGATATTTCATTATTAAAGTATGCTCTCTTATAAAAGAATAAGCTACTTCGCTCAGGATCACCATTTAATTAGTTTATACACAGAATGTCATAGATGTTGAAATTACTTAGTATCAAACTATAATTTAAAGTAATATATATGTACTGATATATGCACATGTCTGAAAGCACTCTTAATTTCTGTATTTCAGTTTTTCCCTTCTTCTTTCTCCTGTTACTTAGAATAAGAAAATGTTCTGCACTGAAAAATATTGTGGCATATTGACATTTCTCACAAGCTGAAATGTGCCCATATCAACACTTGTTTTTCTTCCATATGCTGGATGAATAGGTTACATAAAGGAAACTTATTGAACAACTTCAAATATTTCTTTTTCCTTCACTGCAGTCTCTGCAGCAATAATGTTGAAGACATTTTAATTCCCTTTAATTGGGAAAGATATTTATTCCTTCCCATTTAAAAGGCTGTTTTCAAAAACATTTTAGAAAAATTTATTTCCTCTTAGTTTTAAATTTTGAGATGGTGTGTCATAGCTGTTTAATAGTTTGTCTTTAGCTGTAGTTTGCATTAGAGCGCAACAGATGCTGAAGTTATCTCTTTTTATCTCTTTGTTAGGTAAAGCTTCAACACAGAGAAACTAAAAATGTTCTAGAATTCCCATTTTGTCATAACTTTGCTGATGAAGAAGGAGGAAGAGTGACTGAACTTCCAGTCCTCACAGCTGGGTCCCCTTTTCCAGCAGGTTTGTCACAAGTTGGAAACACTGGGAGAGATTTGGTCAGTGACAATGTCCAATTTTCAGAGCAGTCCAAAGGATTTTGCAGATATTTTCTCTTCATTTCTGCCTGGTGATGCATGGCTAGGTCCAGCCTACTCCAGAGTTTAAAACCAGTACCTTAGATGCTAAAACTGAGCATTGTGCACTCAAGTCTGATTGCTATCAGTTTGTGACACATAAAAACATATGGCACTGAAACTATTAAAAGGGTTTTGAACAGTTTTTACTCAATATGATCTGGTTCTAGGGAAATAGAGAGGAAATAAATACTGTAACTTCAGACAAGAAGGCGATCCATGCCCCACCTCACCCCCAAAAAGATCTCTTGTTATTTGTGTTCTTAGAATTGCTGGCAGTCTTTTTTTGTGACCAGCCAATGCACATCATTAAACTCCATCAGAGTTGCGCCTTGGTCCCAAGACTTGATATTTTTAGTTTGTTCTGTGTTTCTTACAAGGTTCAATAACCAAAGCTAGAGAAGAATGGAAGAGCTCTTATCCTAAATGAATATTCTACCATGATAATATCCTAGGCAACTCCAGGAGTTAAGGGTTTAGATCAAGCACAGAAGTAATCTGTATATTCTTGTTCCTTTTGCTGTGCTTTCGAAGTTAGTATCAAATAAAGCACTTAGGCAGAAGCTTCATGAATATGAATTTGAGAAAGTATTGATGGGAAATTCACTGGTAAAGTTCTTTGCTTTTAAATATTTCTTAGATTTATTTCTTTCTGGAAGAACACAGTTATTTAAATCATTAAAAATGCTGCCCTTTTTTTCTGAGGAGCATTTAGCATGAAGACAGCTACTTTTTATTTACCCCTCCCTACATTTTATTCTCCCTTTCAATTGAATGTTTTGGGGATGTGATTTCTTTCTTATTTTAGGGGCCATATCACCAGTGTGTTATGCATTTCTCTGGGAGTACAGACAGGTATTTTACATAAGCAGCCTTTCAAGGAGTGCTCAGCTGAAGGGCTGTGTGTTCACACTGTGTGCTCTCTCATTTCCTCTCCTTAGGCCAGTAACTTCAACTGGTACACTGCAGAGTGGACAGCCACTGACTGGACCATGATCCAGAGGAAATGCAAAAGTTGATTTCTTCCTGCCAGAGTCCAGCTTTGTTTGAACTCCATGAGGCTCTGAGCATAGATATACTTGTTGAGTGATTTAGTATCATCCATAGCCTAAGAGCATTTTCATTGGAGTGTTATGCATACAAGAGGTGATAGAGTATTATTTACAGCTTTTATACCAACTTTTCATGTGTTTATTTTAATTTTTTTTCTTCTGCCTGTGTTTCAGGCCCACTCAAATTATTTAGTTTATTATTCTTTATAATAGTTGCTCTTAAATTCTAATTACAATGCATCTATGTGCTTTTTCCAAGCATTACAATATATTTTGGTCTTCTGATCACTCCAGATAGGATCAAAAATTAAAATACAATATAAGTAATTTATTAAATAATATATGTTTTAACTGGTTTTGTTTTGGTAAACCTCAGATCTCTTTTTCCCCACAGTGAAAGTCTATGTTCTCCGCATCACCACAGGAGCTACCCCTGGGTCAGGCACAGATTCAGATGTGTATGTCATACTGCAAGGCTCCTTGGGAGATACTGGGAGAAGAAAGTTAACTAGGAAAGGAGATGAAAATTTTACTAAAGGAAAGGTAAACTTAAAAGTTCTGCAAGATATTTTTCACTTTTAGAACCCAGTCCAATTAATGTGGATTTAGGAGGAATAGAGAAGTCTACAAAGTCCAGTTTACAGCTCTCTGTGATTATGTGTTAATCAATATCTTTACCTTAAATGGGAAACACCAATACTTATGCAGCTGATGCTAACAATACTGACAACTAATAAAGTGACTATATCGAGTGCATTTATATTCAAATTTTAATACATCTTTTCTGCCATGCCTTTCTTCAGGCTATGGTATCTTTCCCTGATTTTTACTTCCTACCCTTCAGTCTGGCTCTTGGTCTCTCTCCAGACTGTCAGACACTAGCATCTATAGTTTTCTGAGGTGTACCAAGAGAGTCTGTGCAAGAGTCTTGTAGTTCACAGACATAAACCAGTCAAAGTCCAGTATTATTGCCAGAGATGAATTTCCTTGATACATTGTCAGTATAAGCAGAAATTGGAGGGAATTTAGGTACTGAATGTGCTGCAGAAAGATGGGTAGATTTACAGCAAAATGCATGTCTTTGACATAAAACCTTGTGTCTGTTGGAAGTTCTGGACAGTGGGAGTGAAATTTTCAGCTGAAAAGATCACAAGATATTTTAAACATGGAATAAACAGGTTGCTTGTATTTACTCTGGCTCTTTTTTGAAAACAAATTTGAGGACTGAAACAATTTTATAAGATCCTGAAACAAAAATCTGAAAATTTAGGTTAGAATAATTAAACTTTATAAAATAAATCCGCCAGTGCCTTGCAACCAGTAAGTTATTTTCTTCTGTTGGTGTTGGCTGCCAAAAATACGAGAGTTTCTCTAAGGATGCAAACTTCCAAATCAACCTAGACTGCTAGCCAAAGCAGAGACATGGTATGTCATAAGGAGGAGCTCATCTCCTAGCTACCCCTAGCCTCATCAATTCAGTGGGAATTGAAAGTGGGTACTGTATTGCTGGATTTCACCTGCTTGAAATACTTATTCATAAGAAAAGTTGGAGAGTTTAAAGCTTTATTTTTAAGAAATTAAATACTGTGGATAAGGCTACTTAGTGTTGATAAAGTCAGTTTGTCTTCCCTAATGCTGAAGTTCAGATTAGGGTTTACTGATAATCTGATTTAACTGAATTTTAAATCTGCAGTCCTTTTGTCCTCATGAAGCAAGGTAGTTTAATATAAATTTTACTGGATTTCTCCTTAAATCGTAGTCCCACAAGTGAGCAATCTGACTTCTAGACTGGTAGTTTTTAATGAAGAGGGACTAGGGATGCACATCTCGAAATGTTGACTAAGAAAGCAGAAGTGAGCCACAAAGATTTATAACCTGAAGGATACTTTTACAGTATTTGCATCTACTTCAGTTTAGCTCAGAATTTTTCTCTCTTACAGAATAAGATGCAGATCTGGCATGTAGCCATCTCTTCATTATTTATTTGACATTTTATAGGAGCAGTGTGTGAATATAACGCGGTATTCTTATATTTCTAAATATAAATATCAGCTCAGGAGTATTTTGGGCTCTAAAAAGAAATTGCTTGTAGATAAGTAATAGAGCAACACATAAAAGTCTTGATTCACTCTTTGTTCAGTGAAAGTAAAGGTATTTGGTTAATTAGAAAGTATAAAATTATTCTGCAAGAAAGGCTCATGCCTATGCAGCAGTATTTTGTTTTGTTTTGGAAATTTCCCAATGTTTTCTTCCCTTTAAAAGTAATCTCCAAAAAGACTCTCAAGTGTAGAATGTCTCTTTCTATACCAGCCCAATCACATATTGTGCCAAGCACCCCTGCAGTCAGAGAGTCTGCACTTGGTGGTTTAGGGGATTTGGAGTATAACAGGCAGAATTTGCATTCGGAATCTTAACAGTTGTTCTGACATTTTCAAATGTGCTTTTCCTTGCAATAATTTTTCCCCTGACTATACAGTAACAGCTAGTGAACTGGAACAGTGTTTCTGTTGGAAATCACATCAAAATATGGTGTTAGTCTCACAGAATGTCAGGGCTGTTACAAGCAACAGTTTAGCTATGCAGAAATACACAGAAATGTTTAAATATTCAGGAAAGTTTGCAGTGGATTGGAGATATTCTTCTCTCATTTAACAGGTTTTTTTTATTTTCACAGGCTAAGTTACATGATAGTAAAAGAGTGAATTAGCATCTTATATCTGAAAGGTTACTTTATGTCTTTCCAAAGTCCTTACACCTGTGAGACCATGTGAGAACTTGTAGGTAAAGTAGTGTACATGATATTATAAATTCACCAGTAAAGCCCTGTAGCTCACCCCCGAGAGGGCAGTGCTGCCACTGTTGAGAGCTGAGCTTCTGCTGATCTACTCATACAAATGAGTGTGAGGACAAATGAGTGTGAGGACTTGTCCTGCAAGAACCATAGCCTTTCAAATTGCTATGACACTGATGCCTTGTTTGGTGTTCTCCTAAAAGCTGTGAGGACAGTTGCAATCTCAGCACACTTCTTCATGCAGTTCAGCTTTCATGAAATCCTGATAGTATTTATTCATGATCTGTGAGTCAGTTTAAGCCTGATAGATGTTACCTGCTTATGAGCATTTTCTTGAACCAAGTATACCCCGTGCAGGTGTTCTGTGAAAACCAGGACCCAGTTGTGTAAAATACTTACAGTATCTCCATGTTGCTTCTGACACGCAACATTTCTCAGCAAATGCAATTCTTGATGCTTCTTTATATGGCCTTTGACAGACTTGCTGTATGCTCTGTCTGTCATATGGCTGTGAGCTATCCAAAAATTTCCTCTTTGAGAATGTGAGTTTTTTGTCAGATCAGTTCCATCAAAACCAGTAAATTACACTGAATATGTTATGGCTGATACATAAGTATTTTAATCTAGGTTTTATGAAATTGGCCAGTATTTTAAGTACTCCACGTTACGGAAGCACTAAATTCTCTGACAATTTTTGCTTTGTTCTATTAGTATTTGAAAATATATAGTCTTTATCCTGCCCTATATTTAGACATCAACTGCTCAGGTTGGTGCCATGGTAACTGCAGCACATACAAAAATTTTCAGTGAGAGGTGACTGTTGGTGTTCAGTTTCAGTACTCACATATTAAGCACTGACACTTTAAAAAAAAACTTCAGGAAAAAGTCTATGTGTGCCAGGATACACCTAGAAGAATCAGAATGTGGGGCAGTGCCCTGAGGTTACAAGTAGTAAGCCAGTAATGTCCACATCCCATCACATTGACAGTGCTGCTATTTTGTGACTGCAGAAAAACCTTCTCTTATGGAAAGCATGCCTGACATAATGATTAAAGAGTTGCCAAATGTCATTGATCCAAATGTATTAATCACGGTGGTAGGCTGTTGGCCAAGTTACTGTTATACAGAAATGAGCACTAAATCAATCTGGTCATCATGGAATCATAGAATTGTTTAGGTTGGAGGAGACCTTTAAGAGACTGAGTCCAACCATTGACCCAGCACTGCTAAGTCCACTACTGAACCATGTCCCTGACTATATGCTTCCCTGAGCAGCCTGTTCCAAGGCTTGACAATAATTTCAATAAAGGAATTTTTCCAAATATTCAATCTAAACCTCCCCAGGTGCAATTCAAAGTACTTTCCTCTTATCCTGTGTCCTGTTACCTGGGAGAAGAGACCAACCCCAACCTGGTTGCAACCAACCTCCCCTCCCCAGACTCCCTCCTTTCAGGCAGTTGTAGAAACAATCAGGTCTCCTCTAAGCTTCCTTTTCTCCAGGCTAAATACCCCCAGTTTGTCAGTTGCACTTCATAGGATTTCTGCTCCAGACCCTTTACCAGCTTCATTGTCCTTCTCTGGACTTGCTCCAGCACCTCAGTGTCTTTCTTGTAGAGAGGGGCCCAAAAACTGAACACTGGATTCAAGGTGGCCTCATCAGTGCTGAGTCCAGGGAGATAATCACTGCCCTGTTCCTGCTGGCCACACCATTGCTGATACAGACCAGGATGCCTTTGGCTGCCTTGGCCACCTGGGCACACACTGGCTCATGTTCAGCAGCTGTCAACCAGAGCCTCTAGGCATCTTTTCCACCAGGCAAATTTCCAGCCATTCTTGCCTGTTCCTGTAGCATTGCATGGGGTTTTTGAGACCCAGGTACTTGGTACTTGGCCTCGCTGTACCTCATACAGTTGGCCTTGGCCCATTGATCCAGCCTGCCCAGGTCCCTGTGCAGAGCCTTTCTGTCCTCCAGCAGATCTACACTCTCACCTGACTTGGTGGTGTTCCTCAAACTGACTGAGGGTGCTCTCTATCCCCTCATCCAATAAAGATATTAAATAAAGATATTAAATATCAATAAATATATTAAACAGGACTGGCCATGGTGCCGAGCCCTGGGGAATGCCGGTAGTGACCAGACACCAGCTGGATTTAACTTCATTCACCATCACTCTCTGGGCCTGGCCATCTAGACAGATTTTACCCAGAGAAGAGTGCACCCATCCAAGCCACGAGCAGCCATTTAATCCAGGACAATGCTGCGGGAAATTGTATCAAAGGTTTTCTTAAAGTCCTGCTAAACAACTTTCACAGCCTTTCCTTCATTCACTAAGCAGGTCACTCTGTCATAGAAGAAGACTAGGCTGGTCAAGCAGGACCTGCCTTTCAAAAAGCCATGATGGCTGAGCCTGGTCCCCTGATTGTCTTGTGTGTGTTGTGTGATGGTACTCGAGGTGATCTGTGCCATGACCTTCCCTGGCACCTAGGTCAGGCCTGTAGTTCCCTGGATCCTCTTTCTGAACCTTTTTGTAGATGGATGTTACATTTGCTAATTTTCAGTCAACTGGAACCTGTCCAGTTAGCTGGGACTGCCTGTAAATGATGGAAAGAGGCTTGGAGAGCACTTCTGCCAGCTCCCTAGGTACCCTGAGGTGAATCCCATCCAGCCCCATATGTGTGTTTGTGTGCTGTAGCAGGTTGCTAATCCTTTCCCCTTGGATTGCAGGGGCTTTGTTCTGCTTTTTGTCTCTGT